TATTAATTGTAATAATTATTAACGTTGAAATACTAATTATAATATTGGAACCTTTTCTTGTTTTCTCAATATTTTTGCGTAAGCTCATTCCATAGAAAAAACAAATTATTTTACAGAGGTAAACAAATTAAAGAATAAGTTTATTTAATTTTAAATATAAACTTTTTTTATTGTAATATTCATATGGAGAGGTTTAAGCGTAACAAAATGTGTTTGTAGTAAACACGACTCACGTGTGGGTTCTCAACAAGTAGGGTCATATAACGCTATCGATTTCATCAATACACTGTGACCTTTTGTATTCAATGCATTTTTTAAAACATTTATTCTTCATCAAATCATAGTAAAAACATTTATAAGCTAAATTATTATTTTTGATTATTAGACCACAAAAATTATAAATATTAAATGGTGTAATTTATTAGGTATAAAAACATGTAGTTTGATTTAATTGTTAAAATAAAAATAATCTTTGAAACTTTTTTATATATATAACAAGTAATATATATACAACAACAATTTTTTATACTTTTTTAATGACATTAAAAATAAATACTATATTTAAAAAATATAATAACAGCCACCACAGATATTTTAAAATGACTGAATACCATTATTTCCAATGAAAATTAGTAGAATAGAAAATAATAATAAAATATGTTTCTCATAAAAAGTTAAAAATATTTTCAATCTATATAGTAACGGAAGCTGAGGTGTTGATAAATAATAATTACTTTTTACTATTAAAAAGTTTTACCGCCTAAGTATTACACCTAATACACAATACTATCGGAAATAATCACGGTATAATTAAAAACTAANATTACTTTTTACTATTAAAAAGTTTTACCGCCTAAGTATTACACCTAATACACAATACTATCGGAAATAATCACGGTATAATTTAAACTATAAATAATATGATCAAACAAAATTTCAATGTCCACATAGTAATGAGATAATGATGATCGTTATCTCCTTTACGTTATACATTTAATAAAACCTCCCTTGAAAAAAAAAATTAAATTTCCTAATGAGCCATTAAGGCTATTATCAGAAAACTTAAAAGCTTAATTAAATTTTAGCTATTGCACTTTTCTATTTTCATAATAAAAATTCTACTAATATACAATCCATTTTTATGGATGTTTTACATAATTGCTATAAAATACAGAAACATAAAAATAATGTTTTGAATACATTTTTATGACCGTTTAATTTATGTTCACAATTTACATTTTCAATGATTTATTAAATAAAATAAATTTTACTACTTGTTAGCCAAGCAAAAGATGCCTCGAAGGGTAGAAACAAAAACTTTTGGTCTCTTTTACTTGTAAATCTGTTGTTTAATGTGTAAACTGTTAAGATCTTTAAGTTTTTCACATGCAAATGACTTAGCCAAAACTGCGGTGACAGCTGATGATGTCAATATGTACAGTACAATATAACAGTACAAAGGACTTCAGTCCTATACCTAATTTATTGTGTTATAAACTTTGATTGAATTCAGTTTTTGACGAAAACTACTGATAAATATTAACTTTTCAGTAATTGTGAATAGTATTTTTCTAATAAGATATAAAAGTGCATATAAAGCTATGAATGTACAATGCAGGATCTTGTTTTTTCTCCTTCGTTTTCTTGGTGTCCTCATTAAATTACTGAAACTTTTGAAACAATAAAATTCCAAAGTTCAGAAAGTTTATAGTAACAACTTTCCTGTTTTTTTTTCATTTACCGCTCAAGATCTTCTATGTACTTATTTATTTTTCTTTTCTTTGATCTAGATGTTAACATTTATTTAGTGTAATGTTTCGTTTGATAATGTAACCTTAGCTTACATTGTTTGAATTCAATGGGTAGTCGTAATTAATCTCTCAAAAATGAATTTGGTTAAAAATTATAAGTTAACTGTAACATGACAAATCTAAAAACAGTATTTAAAAAATATACAACTTGAATTTCAGTCAAATAATTTGCATTACTTACACATTAGTTTTCATGTATTTTTTTCTATTCGGATATTATCAATTAATCCAATTATTTGTACATACATTTAATGTATTATTTAAATTTTTAAAATAAAATAACCCAGTCAAATATTTCAACTTAGAAAATACATTGGTGTGATAGTTCTCAACACTTTTCTGAATATAATCAATTTTTATTTATTGTTAATTAAATATACTTAAATTTTAATAATACGATATATTTTATAGGTAAGTAAGTCTACAATATAAATACATAAAATAAAAATAAATGGCTACTGTGGATCTATATAATATAATATAATGTGGGAAGTTAAACACAAACTTACTAAATATCAAATATACTTTATGACAAAATTCAGAAAAGAGAGTTAAAAAAATATTACAATAAAAGGAAATACTAAGGTATGAAGACAAATATTTGGGGAAATTTTTTTACCTTAATAATTTATAGTCATTGAAGTATATCACGCATGAATATTTGGAAATTTCTCAATATAATGACATCAATAAAGAAACTTTATGAACATGAACATATTTATTCGATTTCTGATAGTTCATTATCATGATACTATTTCCCTATCCATTATTTTAATCTCTACATAAACCCTAAAAGTAATTTTTCATCATTTAATTGGCCTAATAGGCGTCCTGGATATTATTCACTACACTTTAAAACTCATCTACTCTTGTTGCACTCATTGATTTCTCTGATACTTTATCCGGGGTAAATGAAATACCTGTTTTCTTGTTAATTTAACCATCAATTATATAAGCGATTAGTTGATCGACTAAAATGCTCCACATAAAACATTGCGATCGATTAATAAATCTATTGTTTTTTTACTGAGTTTTTACAAATATTAAGGTAGTATGAACAACATTTTGGTAGCGGCATGTGGAGCAGATTCAGTTTTTCACTATTACATATTCATGAAAGTAAAATATCACGAACACTCTCGGCATTCAACATTCGCTCCTGCTGAGCTCTTTTTAAGGGAAACCGTTGGCATCGTAGTGTAGTATCGTTACAACGGCAGTATCAGGTGTGCTCCGTTATATTTCATTTTATTAGTATTATTATTTTCTACTACACCACGTTTTTAATGAAAAAATACGACGACAGTCGAGGTAAATTGTTGTCTTTTACCGTTTAAAAAAATTTACTTAAAGAATATACTAATAAAAAGATAACACGTATATTTTCCAACATAGTTGTATTTCTTATATTTTCAAAACTATCGGCGAATAAACAATTTAATATTTAAACTCTTAATCAAAATTTATTTGTATTATAATAAAATAATTTTTTTTTTTTTAATATGACTACAAAAAGCTAATATAATATTTTTAACTATATTCATGTTACTTGACAAATTAAACGTTTCATCATAATCATTAAACAAAAGCTCAATAAGTAATGGGTAATAATGCCTTATACGAGCTAGGCTTTATTACTTGTATCTAAACAGTTTAGAAAATATAATTTAGACTCTCTACCTCATCTACCTTATATGTGAATCAACAAGATGAAATTTTAGTTTTGATATGACGTTAATTTTTCCAATATAAGTAAAAATGTTTACTTTTGTAATCATCAAATGACGGATAAACCTTATCAAAATATTAAAATTTTAATTTTATTTCAAGTAAAAAAACTTAATAAATTTGTTTTTGTTGTATTGAATATTTACAAGATTATTAGTTTCACATAAAGTTGTCTCGAAACTCAATTTAATTCTTAAAATGCAAAAATAATCATTCCAATATAAAACATTGACAAATCAGAAGTAAATAACTATATTCCATTATAAGTATATGGAGTTTTTTTTTTTTTTTTAATAAACTACACGAAACAATTTAAATTAATAATATCACGCACTGCTGATAGTTGTTGTCATGTCGAATAATTGTTGTAGTTCGAAACTAGATCATTATTTTTTTATAAATAAAAAAGTTTTATACCAAGGTATTTCAAATAAATATATATAGAATTTATATTAGTCATGTACTATAAAAACTTTCTCAAAGTAAGTCTTCGCTAATATTAAATAATTAATGTACACTGCACATCGAATAAAATATTTTTTTGTATTAGTAGAATAAATATTTAAAAATTATATGTAAGTATTTCGACCTTGCTTCACGAGTGTTGTTCAAAAAGTTCAATTAGAATTTTATCATATAAAATATTGTCTACAAAATAGTACCTAAACTATTGACTCGGTATGAAAAATTGTATTAAAATTTAATTCTTATGAATAAGTTTTACTTAAGCATGTAATTTAGATGGCTTACGTACAGTTTATTAATATGAATGAATAAGCTACTTTTACAATTTCTTTTTAGCCATAAGATTTTTTTCGAGTGTACTTATTATGTAAGCAGTTAATGATTTCTCACTTTAATAAAAACTACCTTAAATATCAAGACTAAAATATAATATAAGTTATATTATATTTTTGTAGTGAAATGAACAACAAAAACACTATAAATAGACTTTTAAAACCATAATCATTATTATCAGAGTAATATTAATTGTCTAGATAATATAAATAACATTAATATTATGTGTATGGATATGATATCACGGTTTAAAATACTGATTTTCTACCAGACCGACCTATGTATTTAGTTATTTTATCTACAGAGTGTATAAAATATACGGTTTTATTTATACATTAGTTCAATCATACGATAACGTAACGAAATCGATAAAAAAAAACAAACTTTATTAAGATAACTAAATTATACTGATAAAAGTTTAACTAAAATGTACCCAAGACAGTTACACACACGGGGGGGGGGGATATATCTGTCAACCATGACTCCCTGGCACGAACCTGTTTATTATACATTTTCTTTTAAATTTTAAATTGCTAATGAAAATTATTTAGTCAATGATTTTAAAACATTATATTAAAATCAAAGAGTTAAGTATTAAGATAAAACATCCATTACTCTCTTATGTAAAATTATGTATAAAAAAAAAAAAATAAATTTACTCACCTCGTCAAATATAAAGTTGTCAATTTCTTCTAATGGTTTACCATACAACTCTCTGGGAAAAGGTTCAAATTTGCTTGGCAAAACAGATCCATCAAGGACGCTAACTTTGTTCCTAGTCTGGTAACCATAACCTGTAGACGTCGCAGGCACATTTTGTCTCACGTCTAATGAATCTTTGGTGAATGGCCGAACTTGAACTTTAGGTTCTGTTGGGCTTGGAGTATGAGGTTGCTGGCGACGAGCTAGTAAAGTGTTAGGCAACCGGATCGGCAACATGATCAACAGTTGTAGATTTCTTTAAAAGTCACGTTAACATATTCCTTATCCTGTTAATAACTTAAACTATTAATAACTAAATATTTTTAACTAATTATTATACGAATTTTTGAAATTAAATGAATCGAGATTTATTTAAATAAATAATGAAGATCCCAAATGAGTCTTAAATTAGTTATCTATTATAATCAAACAAAATTTTTACATCAATGATTCCTCGAGGTAATCATTGTTATTACATTAACAAGATTTATAGATTTAACAATAAAAATTAAAAACTTTTTTTAATTAACTCGATTTATTTTGATTCATTGGAACTAATTTGAAAAAATAAATAAAATTTCATTGTTTAATTTTCTTTTAATTAAAATATGTGAGCTTAATGTAAATCCGTAAACTCCATTAAAATATTTTTTTAAACATCTTATACTCTCCTTTGAAATAGTATTTAAATAATGTGAAACCTAAGGAGAATTTTCTATATTGTAAAATTAAACAAACATGTTATGAATATAAAAATAAATCCACTTTTTGATAAAGTCAAATGTATACGAAAAAATACATGACATTAGCTTTGAACTTTTTAAGCATTCTAGGGAAGTACCGAAATCTACCGAAATATCTGAGAAAAGCTTTTGTCGATGCCAAACTACAAGCAAACATTTAACTTGATAAAAATATGTGGATTAATACACATTTGATATTGTTTTTTTTTTTCTATAAAAATATCTTATTGATTTTCTTAAAACAAATCGAAGAAATTTAACTCTGCCAAACTTTATTGACACAAATAATTAATTTCTATTTCACCTAAATAATATATGTGGTAAATACCATGAAATAAGTCGTTTTTAATTAAAACTTCAATCAGAAAACGTAAGTCATTTAAAAGAAAAATCAAACATTTATCTGTGATTATTATATATTTTTTGAAATCCTGGAATTATATAGACATTTTATTTATTAATCTTCTTTACGTCCTAAATGTTTATAAACTCATTTTTTACATAACTTAATATTTATTTGTTACATTTAATGGCAAAATGCTATTTTTAATAGATACTCGTAATGCTTTTTTTAAATTTTAATTTTACATGAGCTGAATGACATAATAAAATTCAAGAAACAAACTATAACATATAATAATATAATTAAAACAAAATGTTATAAATCCTTTTTCTCCGTACCTTCGTTAAGCCACGAATGTTAATGACGTGTTAGTCAGCATTGTAGGTGACCGGTCATTCGTTTGTCCGAGACACTTATGCACGCACATTTCCGAGTACCAGTTGGCAAAGTTCCGTGACGAATAACTTAAAAGTTAGGGGTAACACCGATTAATACGGGGGCGATAAACAAACGAGTCGACGGTAAAATGGAACCAACGGTGGCGACAGTCATCAACAAGTAGGAAACGGAAAGCGGTAAAAGTTGTGGTAGTGGAAGTGGCAGCTGTGTTGGGGACGAAGGTAAAATGAGGAAACGGTGACGAAGGTTCGTCTGTCGGCAAAGAGTCGCGTGCAGGTCGACGAACGCCTAACCAATCCGCACGACCGCCGCACCATGACTACTACTATACCGTGTACGATCACCACACCACACTATTTATTTGACCGACTCTTCGCCACCGTAGCCGTTAGGGACGCAAGAGGAAAGATTACAACAACCACCAGACGGCGTGCTTGGCCCTCCCCTTAAAAAACATACTTGAAATGTAGCCCCTTCTACTCATTTAAAGCCCCTCCTAGTATATAAAATGTAGCAGGTAACGCATACGCGTACATGAATATTGCATGAACTACGAACGTAACACTTAGACGCTGAGGTGGTTTCCGGCTTCATAGTTGAGACAGAGAAAATTTGTTTTTTGTACCGTGCCACCGTAAACTTAACGTTTATCATTTTACACCACAGTCTCACACCCTCGCTTGGCCTAGCCATTTACTAGAAACTAAATAGATCTTCTTTCATACAGGATAAATAACAGATACTTAAAAGTCAGCAACTTGAACTACCATTAACTTTATATAAAATTAATTGACATTACCAATTAATACAAATTGTATGCATCAAATCAAACTATTAAATTGATTAAAAAATATCAAATTGATATTTTTTAACTATAAAAATATACTGATATTTAAGTACATTCTTTGTAATTATTCGTTTTTAAACACATACAATAGTCAGGTGACTTTTATGGGAAGGTTAGAGCACTTTAAACTCCTCAAAATTTACTTGTAAAAACCTCCATACAATTGAAAAATATTGTATGTGTTGTTATAATATAACAAAACATACAATTTTCTTCCGCCTAGATGTCCTGAAATGATATAAGTTCATAGTTTAACACACTAAAGTAATAACATAAAAATAATTGAAATTCAACATACAAAAATGTAAATTAGGAATGTTTTCAAGGTTACGTCTCAGGGGAGAAATAAATACGATTTTTTTTTTGCTATCTCCTCCAAAAAAGAATAGTTTTCTTCACTGCATAATTATTTTCTTAGTAAGAGGAAGTTTTATCGTCATATCTCACCGCAAGAACATCTATGGCTACAATATAAAAAAACTTGCGCTCAGTGGGATCACGACATAATTGGAACAAGTATAAATGATATCAGACAATGATTAAAATCACTATCATATGAAACGCTTCAATACAAACCTGTAGATAGTGTTTAATTTTTAGAAGGAATCGTTAAATTATTTCAAAAGCAACATCAACTCATGAGTTAATTAAGGAAATATATTTCCTTAATCATATACCGATTACAAGTTTTATAATTTGTAAGTATAATACAGATTACTAGTTATAGTAATTAAATTAAGTATGAAATTGATATTGTAAAACAATTAAGTATTGTAATTTTTACAATACTAAAATAAATTATTATAAAAATAATACATCATTCAAATTATATATAAACAAATTCCAAAATATAAATAACAAATTTCCTTAAAGAACCTCTGTATGCTTTTAATATTTGATATCTTTACCCGGATTGATATTCAATTATAAATTTTGTTTGAGCCGTTTTAAAAAGATCGAAGTACATACAAATTTTTGTTGTTGGATTACACAGTAGCAATAAAATATTTTCGTTTTAGATGAAATAAACCCCCTAATCTCCCTTAAATGCATATAAATCCTTATGATAATTTATCTTTTTTGACGATCACCAAAAATTATAAGTCTTTTAAAAAAGTACATTTAGTATAATGAATATTATTTATTTCTCGCCATTATTCATGTCGAATGATTTTACCACGTAAATTCTCACCTAATCTAACTTTTAACTTGTATAAATTTTAAGCAAATTTGTGAATAAAAATAGAATATAAATTAACATACCATTGTATTGTACTTCATAATGCACAGCATGTTTATATTTAGTTTTTAAATATTTTAAGATTAGTTAAATAATTTATATGTATATAAACCGAATTTAGAAACTGAAATAATTTCGGGTTTTCGAACATTTTCCCATATCTAGTAGGTTATTTGACCTACATCGTTTTTTTTTTTTAAGAATTTGTAAGGTTGGTTTTATATATACTACAAATAAATATAAAGATTAAAAATCGATTTTAACCAACATATTTTTCTGTTTATTTCGGTTTTTAAACATTTTTTAAAAGTCTAATTTTAAGTTTAATTAAGATTTTAAAAAGCGATCTCATAATATCTTTGGTTCTATAATCATTGTATTCAATGTAAAATAAATTACCCATCACAGTGGGGACGTGGCATAGTTGGGTCCAGTATAGACTTAATCTGACAGTGATTAAAATCACTATCATAAGAAACGCTTCGATGCAAATCTGTAGAGTGTTTAATTTAATTCTAAGAAATTGATGGATAATTACAAAAGCTATATGATCTCATATTTCCTTAATTATATCCAGATTAGTAATTCTTCTATATTCTATATATATTAAAATATATAATTTTTATAATTAATTGTTTTCAAATTATTATTAATTTTGATTTTTAATATGTTAGAATTAATCATTTTTAACCTACATTTTTTTTGTCCTTTAAAGTGAAAGTTTATAATAAAAAATAAAATAAATTTATTGCCATAACTTTTAGCTCAACTTGTAAGTTTGAAATGACCATCATTAAATAGAAAAAAATTGTACTCTGTATATTCAATATTATAACGTGTATATATTTGGATTGCTTTGTATTTTCAAATTTTTTTTAAATAAATTTATCAGAAAGTAAATTATAAAGTAAATTTATCAGAAAAGCTCGATTTATATTGCATTTTTATTGTAATAGATCACTTAAATAGAAATAATAGTAATTATTTTTTGGTGTTTAAAAGATTCTACAATTGAAATAATCAGAACTGAATTAATTTTAATGATTTACTTTTACTAAAAACCAATCAAATGATTTTAATTATTAGTATGGATAAAGCTGGTTAAGCTACATTTTATTCGATTAAGGGTTTTTTTCAATTTTTGAGGGTAATATCTTCAACCAAATACAAATTGTAATAATTTGACGTATCGTTGAAAAAAGTAGGTCAATTGAGTGTTGGGAAAATAAATCGCAGTCACAAAAAAAAATCACCTAGTAAAATAATATTAAGATGAATAAGAAATTTCTTCTCACACGGAGAGACAACATCCTTGATATTTATTGAAGTTATTGAATCTAAATGAGATAAAAATCAAATGATTTGAAAATGTTTTTCTAACTAAAAAAAAATTCAAAATATTAAATGCCACAGGCGGATGTGAACCTCGTACTCTTAGCGTAAAAGACACAAGTGTTACCGATTCGGCAACTGTCTGTCGCTTCCGTCGCGTAATAAAATTAGCAATTTAAGCTAAATCAAATTTTAAAGTTACTTTTTCGACTTTAAAAAAGCAAACAAATTTAAATATGTTTAACTTCTTATGTCTTATAAACTTTATTCTATGTCAATTAAATTATATAATATTCATGAAAGTCAGTGTATTCCCTTTGTAAGTTATTTTAAAATAAAATAAAATACAAAATCCAGAATTTTAACACAAAAATAGCATATTTTTGAATACGGTAGCCATTTTTACCAAAAAGAAAATCTAAATATAGATTTTTTTTTTATTCATAGTAAAGTATATAATATAACCTTTAATTTAAGATTAAATAAAAGTGTCAATATTTTCGGAACATTTTCAAAAATTAAATTAAAAAAGTTGAGTTTTGTAAAAAGTTTCTACTTTGAATCCCCTTTTGTGGCAGTTAAAGAGTCGAATTTTCAAAAATATTATATCGAATAAAAGGAAAATATCTAAGGTTTCATTATAAAAAAAAATTATATTAAAATTTGTGAATTTTTTAAAAAGTTATGGAAGTTTTAAGAAAAAAAAATAAAAAAATAACAAAATTTATCGATTTTTAAAACTGTAATTTTTTTTTGGAGATTTCCCCCATTTACGGGGAACAAGGGATTTTTTTCAATTTTTAAGGGTAATATCTTCAACTAGATACAATTTTTGATATTTTGGTGTATTGTTGAAAGAAATTGGTCCAGTGAGAACTGAAAAAAAGTGGCAATAAAAAAAAACACATCATGGTAAATTTAATACCTTTGCATCGAAGCTAAAATGTATCATATACTAACAACTAATTTAATAGGTATATATTTTTTCGGTTCTTAGGCCTGATAAATATAAAACTAATAATTTTATTAGAGTTTTGAAAATTATTGTAGTTGCATGTTTTTATAAAATAAGTACTATTGTCTTAGCATGAACACGCACACACATAAAATAAATAAATAAAATTAATTCCTACTTTATTAAAATAAAAATAAAAGAAATACTTCCATTTTAATTGCCTTGAATACATGCATTCAAGAAGTATAAACTTCCTTATAAGCTCCCACATAAATATTGTTCCATTGGACGAAAGTTTTAAAATTAGTAAATTAGATTCATTTAGAAATAAAAAATATGCCCTATCGATCTTTAAGTGAAATACAAACCATATAAATTAATGTAACATTTTTTACACTTTTATATTTTTTTATGTCAAATAAAGGCAAAATAAATTTTTTTTTTTAATAGTTCAAAGAAGCAATGCTACTATAGCTTTGTGTATATTATATGAATATATATTTATCTTAATATTTTATTGGTATATCATATCTTTCTAAAAAATTAAAAATTATGTAATGAATATACAATTTTTGTTTGTTAAAAGTATCAAATTTTTAAACATAACAATGTAGTTTAATTTTAAAAACACTTCGCAACTACTACTATACACATTCTAAATAATTGTTTAAAAAATATTGATAATCTGTATTACAATATTATCTAAATATTGATAGATACCCCTTAAATCACTCTCGAAAATATATTTTTTTACAACAAACTTGATATTTATTTTGGTTTATAAAAATTAATTTAATTTAACTATATCTTTTATGAAAAATCATTATTTTAATGAAAAAATGGTATTTATAATAAAATAAGATGTAGATAAAAAAGGATAAAATGTCCTATATAATTTTAGTAGATAGTATGTATTGTTTGTTAATTTTTTTTTTTATTGAAAATGAAGATTTAAAATACTTGAGTATCATGATGGAACATTTTCTATATATCGCCATCAACAAAATAGAAACTCATTTATCGTGAATGGAAAATAAAACGCTAAGAAAATTATTAATAAAACTTATAATAATTTTATTTTAACAAAATTCAGCGACAATTCCTCCTCTTTTAATTTACGTTTTGAACTTAATCAAGATTTTCTCTGAGATTGGCACCAGATTTTTCAACTATGTGATAGTTTCTATGACACTGAAAATTAGATAAGATAATTACTAATTATTTTTCAATCTAATTTTATATGTATGATGGCACTTTTACCAGGGTAAAAAGTGTGGAAGGAGTAACGGAAGGTTTTCGGGTAAAAGTAGGAGTGCATCAGGGTTCTGCTTTAAGCCCTTACTTATTTTCTATAGTGATGGATGAAATTATTAGAGAAATACAAGGAGAGGTGCCGTGGTGCGTGGTGTTTGCTGACGATATTGTGTTAATAGGAGAAAATTAGTCAAAGATTAGAGGTGTGGAGATCAGCTCTTGAAGAAAAGGGTTTAAGAATAAGTAGAAGTAAGACAAAGTATATAGAGTACGAGTTTGACGAAGGAGAACACGAGGTAGGTGTAATGAGGAGGTCAGTGACAATAGGCGAGGACGTGATTGGAAAGGTGGAGAGTTTTAAGTATTTAGGGTCAGTTGTGCAAGAGCGGTGGTATTGACGAGGATGTAAAACACAGAATAAAGTGCGGGTGGTTGAAGTGGAAAGAATCGTCTGGCGTTTTATGCGATAAAAGAATTCCAATGAAGCTGAAAGATAAATTTTACAAGACTGTAGTGAGACCAGCTATGATGTATGGTTGTCAGAGTGTTGGGCGGTTGATAAGAAAGTAGAGCAGAGAATGAGTGTAGCAGAGGTAAGAATGCTTAGATGGATGAGTGGAGTGACTAGAAAAGATAGAACAAGGAACAAGCATATAAGAGGGAGTATAGGTGTAGCATCAATCGTGGATAAAAGAAAAGAAAATAGACTTAGATGGTTTAGTCATGTTATGAAAGAATCGGGTTGTAAGAATAGTTATAGAAATGAATGTTGAAGGACAAAGAGGTAGAGGAAGACCAAAAAAGAGATGGAGGATGCTATTGAATGCGTTATGAAGACAGCTGATGTGAGAGATCGTGTCAAGTGGAAGTTTAGGATAAAGGTGGCTGACCCCAAGCAGTTGGGATTAAGGCGAGGAAGAAGAAGATATATTACACTTATAAATCATATAACTTGTTATCAGGGTATAAATAAGGAAATAGGAAATCATATAGCTTTTGGAATAACCGGACAATTTTTTAAAATTAAACACTACAGATTTGCATCGAAGCGTTTTTTATTATAGTGATTTTAATCATTGTCAGATATTATACTTGACCCAACTATGCCACTTCTCCACTGTGCTGGGTTTATTTTTAATTGAATTATAAAAAAATGGGTTATTTGAAAATTACTCAAATTAAAGAAAATGCATATGTATACAAAAAAAGATTTTTATATATTATAGTTGTTATGATTTAATACTATTATTGAGGTACTATGAATTGATAAATAACAATAATAAAATACAGTTATTTTGTGAACTACATTAAATTATATATTTTCAATGTATTCAAAAATTGAATGTAAGTATACATAATAAGATTACAAATAGATCCAATAGAGAAAATAAAACATAAGTGATGACATAAAATGTAATTAATATTATTTAGTATTGACGTATGAAAATAAAATACATAAACTACTTTTTCCAATTGCTGCGAGGGTACCTTATCAATATTATTACCCACAAATTATTTGTTTAATGTGAATCTTCGAACAAGATCACTTAATTTGACAAACAACACAACAATAGATATTAATAATTACTCAAAAAAAAAAAAATATCAACAAGTTATATTATTCTTATCATCACTCAGATTTAATACACTCTTAGTTCTATTAGATAAACATTAGTTAATGATAACATAGTTATTTTTAAAATTAGATATACATAAATGTAAAATGATCTTGTCAAATGTGCAACCTATTTTAACAATTAAATCAATGGGTCACTTTAAAATATATAAAAAATACATAATCCCAAGTGGTACACACCACATGAAATAAAATGGAATAATGTAAACATGTTTTCCAACTCGGACATCCATTTCTGACACTACTTAGTCAAAAAAGACAAGGGCATTGATTTTCTATTCATTGTAAACGACAAATCTTTGACTAAAACCACAATTTTGAAGACAGTGTAAATTAACAAAAAACCCAGCACAGGGGGGTCGCGGCACAGTGGTGACGTGGTATAGATGGATCAAGTATAATGATATCTGACAGTGATTAAAATCACTATAAAAAAAAAACGCTTCGATGCAAATCTTTAGATACTGTTTAATTTTAGAAAATTGGTGGACTATTCCAAAAGCTACATTATCTGCTAGTTCATTATTAATATCCTAATTAAGATAAAGTATGTAGAATGAAAAAGGGATTATTAAAAAATATTATTTCTCATAAAAAAATAATGTTGATCCATACACTTTTCAATATGTCATAGCATTATAAAGTTAAAAATGTAAAAAATAAAATCGAGAATTTTCACACAATAATAGCATTTGGTAGCCATTTTCACCGTGAAGATAAAATAAAGTCCGAAATTTTTTTTTTGCATAATAAAGTATATTACATTAGCTTTAATTTAAGATATATATAAAAGTGTCAGACTTTCCGGAACACTTTCAAAATTTAAGTTGAAAAAGTTCTACTTTCTACATGCATTTTTTAGATTTGAACTCCCTTCGCATATAAGGAAATGGTCGGATTTAAAAAAACAGTATGTCAAATGAAAGATGTATATAAATACTACTCCTCATGAAAAAATTGTACTGATCCATACATTTTTCAAAAAGTTATAGCATAATAAAGTTAAAAACGTAAAATACAAAATCGAAAATTTTCACACAAAAATAGCATTCGGTAGCCATTGTCACCGTTAAGATAAAATAAAGTCCAAAATAAAAGTTATAGCATTATAAAGTTAAAAATATAAAAAAGAATTTTTTTACAAAAATCGTATTTTTATTATCAACTTTGATGTCTGTTTTTACCATGAAGATAAAATAAAGTCCAAAATTTTTTTTTGCATAATAAAGTATATTACATTAGCTTTAATTTAAGATATATATAAAAGTGTCAGACCTTCCGGAACATTTTCAAAAGTTAAGTTGAAAAAATTAATTTTTTGTGAAAAAGTTGTCATTTTAAATACCCCCTGTGGGCAAGTAAAGGGTCACATATAAAAAAAAAAACCAAATGATAGGTAAAGACATTATGCATCTATAAAAAAAAACTATATTGATTTGGTTATTTTTAAAAAATTTATAGCAATTTTAAGTAAAAAAAATTGAAAAAATTTCGAAAATTAGCGATTTTTAAATTTGTAATTTTTTTGGAGGTTTCCCCCATTTACGGGGAACGAGGGCATTTTTTTCAATTTTTAAGGGTAATGTCTTCGACTAGATACAATGTGTGATCTTTTGACGTATCATTGAAAGAAATTGGTTCGGTGAGAGCTGAGAAAAAGTGGTAACAGACACAAAAAAAAAAAACACATCTTAGTAAAACCAATACCTTCTCAGCTTCGCATCGAAGCTAAAAGTAAATTCGCTGTATTATGTCATATGTCATATGTCAAAAAAATGAATATTTATGCCATGCAAAATCGATTCTTTTTATCAATAGTAACAAAATCAACTGCAGTATGTGATCGAATAACATAAGTAATTATGCGGTGCAACATGATACTGTTATCACTCGTTAAATGCTGGAAATATTTATTTATTTTTTTAAATAAATTTGACTTTAAGTACAATTATCCGATTTCATCTTAAGAGTTAAGTATACACAGTTTAGTAAAATTACATTCAATATAGACACTAATGAATTCTCAATTTCTCTAGACGTTTAAATCAAACATTAATTTATCATTTATATTCAGTACGATTAATTAATAAATAATAGGATTTGAAATTAATTAATTGGTAATGTCTTTTCCTACTCAAAACGCTAGAGGTAAACATTTTTTATGAATATATATTAATTTTTTTTTCAACTATTAATTAAATACTGTACACTAACCTATAGATTTTTATTTTGTTTATGAGTCAAGACACCAATCAATTTAACCAATAATTTAATGATATTAACTCAAGGTGGATAAATCTATGAATTATTTAAAATAAAACACTTAATTTATTTTTTAGTATTAATCTTAAAAATAATTTTTGACTAATTACTATACTCAATAAAATTCAACTTTTTTCGTAATATTAATGTAAATAAATGAGACTATAATAATTTTTTGTGTTAATATTGAATCTATCTTAAAAATTTTTAAAACTTAAAATTAGTTCATATTATGTTATTAATGCTTTTTATAAAATTTTAGAATAATCTGTCAAATTAAGCTTATTTTATAAACCCTTGAAGCAATGGCAATGGTTGTTGCAACATTTTTATTGAAGAGAACTTCTCCTCAACCTTCTCCATTCTTACCCAGGGTCCCTATCAAACTTAATGCCATCACTGCTTTTAAGTTGAGTTATGTAATGTTTATTAAAAATAAAGATTAACATTTTATTATAACTTTTTATTTAATAATCTCAGAAACAAAAATTTACAACCTTTAAATAGAAAATGTTATTAGGGTTTCAAATATTACAAAGTACGTGTTGGGTTCGGTTACATACATACATAGTTTACTGCTTTTATTATTATTTTAAAAAAATATATGAAATTTAAGCAACTTATTTAGGAATTCAAAATCGAAAAATACTTGAAGACTTAGAACAAAAAAAACAGTTATTACTCAAAACAGGTGCTGTTCCAACCCCTTCAGTTGTACATACAAATAGTCCGGTATTAAAATCTTTAATTAATTAATTCCTAATAATCTGTATGTTCATGATTATTATTTCAATATAACAAAAATCAGTAAACTAAATTTTATTTGTGTATAATTGGCATATTTAACATTATATGTAGTTATTATTTCTAAAAGAAAAATACATAAGCGTAAATAAAAAATAACTGGTATGCTTTATTTTTGTTATAATTTATATTTTTCTTAAAAAAAATGCTTATGTAATGATTTTTACTTTTTATTTTTACAATCATTTAGTTTGGATAACACTAATTGGATTGTTATATCTTGGAAATTTTTTTTATTTGCAATGGTTTACTATTACTTTCTGCACTAAACAAATGGGGTTTTTTCGCCACCGTAAAAGGGCACATATGGTCAACCATCCGTTCACCTACAGTGGTAGGCATGAATTAACATATCAGTATTGTCAACAACTATTTAAACCATCCCGCAACACATGTCCCCTGAAAAATTCTTATGAAATAATTTTTAATACATATATACAGAATATAGTAAAATGATGAAAGTAGATTGTACTCTGTTAACTTCTGCAGAGCCTAAAATTAACAAAATCAAAAACCAAAATTATTTTTATTAAAATATTGAGTTTCCAGGGCTCCTGTCAATATTTATTTAAATCAAATATAAGTGTCACTGAGTTTCAGGAGCCTAAAAAGACTTCTGAAAACTAGCAAATAGCAACTTGTCCCATTTCTCTTAAAAATGTGTTCATTAGTAGTTTTTTAGTACATTAATATATACATATCCATCTGGTTTTTTAGTTCATGAACTTACAGATCCTGTTAATAAGTTTTAGTAAAATTTTTTAACTATTATACGTAAATTTAAAAAATCTAGTATAAAACATCCATCTCTAAGTGAAAAAAAATGTTTTAGGGGATACATTTTCTTTACTGTTTTTAATTTATTTTTAGGGAGCATCAGACAACCATTTTCAGCGGACTCAAATTTTACAATCTACTGGGTTTTTTATTTCTACTGATTCAGCCTTTGGTAATTCAATATTGCCAGTGTTGCCTCGTATAGAAAAATAATTAAAATGGCTTGTATGAAATTAAAAAAACTACAATTTGCTCTTGAGGATATTGAAACATTTGTAAATCCAAAAATAGAACTGGAACAATACACAACATCTTCACATATTGCTGCATGTATTTTACATACAGCCCAATTTGTATATGGAGATATTTCTGAAAAATCGATTGCTGATTTGGGATGTGGTTCTGGAGTTTTATGCATAGGTGCTGCTTTATTGGGTGCTAATTATTGTACAGGTATTACAATATTAAATTTTATTTATCTTAAATCACTTTTAAAAATGATAATTATTTTTAGGGTTTGATATAGACCCATCTGCTCTTGAACTTAGTGTAGAAAATACAGCTGATCGTGATTTATCAGATCGTTGTGATTTTATACTGTGTAATGTTAAAAATATCAAACATATTATACAAGCTAAATCCTTTGATACAGTTATTATGAATCCACCATTTGGGACCAGAGACAAAGGAGCCGATGTTATGTTTTTGAACATGGCTATACATCTTGCTCGTACAGCTGTTTATTCATTACATAAAAAAAGTACAAGGGATCATATTATAAATGAAGCCAAGAAATGGGGTATTTACTCCAAAGTAATTGCAGAGTTAAGATTTGACTTACCGGCTTCTTATAAATTTCATAAACAGAGTAGTGTTGATATTGAAGTAGACTTGATTCGATTTACAATGAAACCTACAGAGTAATAATATAACATGATCCAATTTATAATTTTTTGAAATTACAAATGTAAAATTAATTTTCATTGAGTATATTAAATAAATTTATCTAAAATAAGTGTTATTTTATTCTTTACACATATTTTTAAAAACCATGAAATTTTTGTTAATTAGGATAAAAGTATTATGTCACATCCCTAACATTAATGTACTGTGTACAATAAAACAAATTTTAAATGAAATCATGTGAAAAAAAACCCAGCACAGGGGGGTCGCGGCACAGTGGTGACGTAGCATAGTTGGATCAAGTATAATGATATCTTAATTTTGATGTCTATTTTCACCTTAAAGATAAAATAAAGTCCGAAATTTTTTTTTTTCCATAATAAAGTATACTACATTAGCTTTAATTAAAGATATATATAAAAGTGTCAGACTTTCCGGAACACTTTCAAAAGTTAATTTTTTGTGAAAAAGTTGTCATTTTAAATCCCCCCTGTGGGCAGGTAAAGGGTCAGATTTATAAAACAAATATACCAAATGATAGATGAAGACATCAAGCATTTATAAAAAAATTATATTCATTTATTAATTTTTAAGAAAGTTGTGGCGGTTTAAAGTAAAAAAATTTCGAAAATAAGAATTTTTAAAATTTGTAATATTTTTTGAGGTTTCCCCCATTTACAGGGAATGAGGGAAATTTTTTCAATTTTTTTGGGTGATGTCTTCAACTGGATACGATTTGTGATTTTTTGACGTATGTTTGAAAGAAAACTGTTTGGTGAGAGCTGAGAAAAAGTGGTAACAGACACAAAAATTATCACATCATAGTAAAACCAATACCTTCTCAGCTTCGCATAGAAGCTAAAATATAGTTAATTAATCAAAATATACTTCATAATATAATTTATATTTATTGTAACATAGTATTATTTTTTAAAAATACTAAATTAATTTAAAATATTTGATGATAGTAATAAATTTACTGAAGTAATTATATAAAAACTAACCAACAATAATAACACAAATTTGTTAATTAGTATAATAATAATGTGTTGTTAATCCATTATTTAATTAAGTAAATGTATATACTACTAAAAGACAAAGTAACTTTAGCACTTAAACAAAAGCCTAGTGCACTCATATAGGTGCACAACATAAGTTCATTTAATGACAATTGTTAATAATTGAATTATCTATTTTTTTTGAAATACTTCATAAAATTATCTCTGCTTTTAAGAGTTTAAGCAAACATTTTCTATAAATTACTTTAGAAGTCAGATACAAAATGCTAGTAGCTTATATCTAAAAATAATTAACATGATCCATTTTGTTAGATGTTTAATTATTAACAATAATTAGTTTAAATTTTATTTATTTTTAATTGCATGTAATGCATAGGTTAAATTTGTTGTATTAGCCCAGCTCCAAAAATTTGTTAATGGATTGTAACTTAAACCATTTATTGACACAGTATTGCAATTACCTAAAAAACAAAAAAGAATATACTACAGAGTATTATTAAATGTAATTCCACTCATCATCACATTACATTATGTGGTCATTATGTATTAGTGATTGAATAATCATAGTATCACTTATTTTTAAAGAGTAAAAAATAATGAACTAAGACATAACCTTAATTCAAAAATATAAGTCAATACTGTTTAAAGTTTTATAGTATTTACTTACAGTTCATTTCTAATATAGATTGCAGTTCGTGTGGGCAAATAAATTTTTCCCATTCGTGAGTACCTTTAGGAATAATATCAAATTGTTCACCCAATACTACTATGTTCAACCAAGAAATGAAAGTTCTATTTGGGGTTGTAATAAAAAGTGATCCACCTGGCTAAATATAGTAATTAATTAGAAACATTTTTATAAAATTTTTAACAGTGAACTTGTAATATAACTAAAATATCAATTAAACAAAAGAAATTGACAGTCACTTAAAATATTACTACATTAATAACAATAACACTCATGCAAATTTTTCTAATTTTTTTGCAGAGCAAATAAATTGAACATACTCTTAAACAATAAATATCTACCCATTATTATCATTTATTGTTTGCCTCAATTATAATGAGGTAATGTCAGATCATAGGCTTGGGTAAAAATCCCTTTAAACAATTGTAAGAACTAAATAGTTGGTTAGAGGCTAAGGGGACAATGATGATAACATAAATACATTAATCAATTTAATTCATAAAAATAGATATTTATACAAAATTTAGCCTAGTTATGTACTTTCTATAATTTTTGATATAGCTCTAATTTTTCTAGTCTTACTTATATCAATTTGGAGCAAAAATAAATAATGTTAGATAAATAGTATAAATATAAATATTATGTGCAAAATCACCATAATTTTTATAAAAAAATCTTATTATTCAGAAATTGTCAGATGTATGTTATTGTTATTAATGTAGCAATATATTACATTTTATATAATACTTTTACGTTAATCATACTTTTAAACACTCAACACAACTTGTTAAAAAACTCTGTTTGTTTGATATATGTTCTATTACTTCAGATGATACCACTACATCATACATTCCTACATTATTTCTAACATGGTCTTCAATAGGCTCATTAACATATCTATTGACAGAAAAAAAATATTAAAAGATATAGTGCCAATCAGACCTCAGAAGTTATCCACATCTTTTATGATTGTTAAAATAAATTTTTTATGCTTTTATTCTTGAATTTAAAAATGTTTACAAAAACTTAATAATATAAGACAAATTGCTGACAAGTGAAATTCTGATGACTATACTCATGGGATAAGTACTTAAAATTTTCAAATTCAAAAAACTACATTTTCTTTAAAATAATTTAATCAAACTTTAAATGTTAATTTTACATAAACTTAAGTTTAAAATAATGGATTTTATAAACTAAGAGTAATGATATATTTTTTAAAAGATCAAAGAAGTATTACTAGTTTAAAATTAAAACTAATTACTCTCTCTCAAAAAAAAAAAAACAAGATAAATATGTATTTGCCAGATAACAGATATTGAAATACATAGTTGTGGTTTTTTTTTTTTTAGAGTATTTATTTTGGTTTTTAGAAGTAAGCATTTTGAATATTTTTTTATTTTTAGATTTGTAATATAGGTCATTAGTTTGTAAAACTGAAAACAAAGCATTTTTGTAATGTTTGGTTTAACTATGAATTTCTTGATCTATTATTACAAAAATATAATATAGTCTATTATTTGTAAACCTAGAAGTAGAACACTTTTGTAATGTTTAGATTAATTGTAATTCCCGAATTATTGTTACTATCAGGAAGTAAATATTTATAAACATTTTTGCAAATGATTACTATATGAATTTTATAAAAAGAAAAACAAAATATTTTAGTATATAAGATGAAATGGAATGAATTGAGGGAGGAGAGAGAGAAGACCTCGGGAGTACCGAAGGTAATCTCTTTCCGTGTGGTTCGTTTGTGACATTAAGTTTTTATTTTGGTGTATTATTTATTTATCCGGTTTTAAGTGTATCAATATTTTATGTTTTATTTTGATTGATTATATCTTTATTAACTACATTTTGCGTTATTATTGAACTACTATAACTATAAGTTTAGAACAAAAAGATTGTTCCATATTTAAATACAACAAAGTCATATATAAATACAACAAAGTGGCGCCCAACGTGGGGCTCGAACCTACGACCCCGAGATTAGAGTCTCTTGCTCATAGATTATACATACTTAATATACATTAAAAATTTTAATTTATTTAAAAATAAATGAATAAAATACTAAAATTATATTATTAGTACATCTAGAAACAATTGCATAATAAGTTCAAAGAAATAAAACTTACACATTCATAGAATTAACATACCTGATTTTTTTATGTTTTATTGATAAAGAGTGGTTTTTGGCAACTTCAATTAATTCATTGCTGGCATCTATTCCAGTGACATCACCATCTAAACGTGATAAAGCCTAATCCAATTAAGAATTTTAAAATTAACTTTTAAAATAAATAAAAAGACTTTTAATTACTTCAGTTAAAATACCTCCTCCACAACCAACATCAAGTATTTTAATATTTTTTAATCTACTAGTTGTATTCAAATTCATGGAATTAATATTTTTTGTATTTAATAATCCATTAATCAAAAATGATACCCTAAAAAAAAAAAGCGTATTAATTTTTTATAAATAATTTATCTGAAGTAAATTAATAGTAGTGTGTTTAGAACCTTAATGGATTAAGTGAATGCAATGATTTTAAAGGCCCTTTTTTATTCCACCAGTATTCTTTCATGTTAGAATGGTGTTCTATCTCATGGACATTTATAGTTCCACTATTTGCAGTATACTGCGAAAAGAATCTAAATTTAAGTTCATATTAGTGTCAAATTTTGAATCACAACTCTCTTGTCAACAACATTATATACAATTATTTATTAAATATTTATCTATTAAAATAATCATCCACAATTGTCTCTCATATTATTTATATTGAATTAATACATTTTACCTAATAACACAAATATACGTTGAGTTTTTAACTTTTGGTGTGAAAACGTTCATTATTAAAAATTATTTCTTTTTATAAACCATATAAATTAAAAAAAGTTAATTATTTTTTTAAAAAAGTTAAATTATTTAATGCAGTGATGATTTATGAAATAATTCTAGTGAATCTTATCATTTAGGCCTTTTATCAAATAACAGTATCAATTTTGCACACAGTAACAGCACAGATTATATTAAAAAAATCTGAGGTAACAGTGATTAAATACACCATAGATATACGCAGTGTTGCCAGATAGAGGGAAATTTCTCGTAATCTCCTTAAATTTTTTATTTCAAATAAATGTAAATTCAATTTTCTTTTATTTCTTATATATTGACTATTGTATTTTGACCTTTATAAGATGAAATTCTCAAATAATATTGGTTTTATCAATAGTTATTCCCATAATCAATAACATTTAAAAACAAAATATGTTGTAGAATTCATTAACATATCGTTTCAAAATACATTTTTCAAATAAATCACTACTTTTTGCATTTAAAAATTGATGATAGTTTTCTGAACAAATGTCCATTATCATAGGTGACAAATGTCTCATATTTAGCAGCCGATAAAACTATATCAACCCTGAAAGCTGTAAATGATACTGCTGAAAGGGCTGTTAAGTTGATGCAAGATTTCATGGTTTGATTACAGTCGAAGAGGAGCAAAAACAATTTTTGCTGTGGTGTATGCAAGAACATAGAAAATTATACCCAAATTCGAACAAAGAAACTCTCAAATAGAATATCCCCAATAATAATTTTTTATAAGTACTAGCATTGTAATTCTAATTTCTTTAAAATAAAAATAAGCATGATAAAATTATAATTTCCAGTTAGTATTTTTTAAATTTGTTATGTATTAGCATAAACAGAATTTGACTACAAGAAATTTAACCAATAATACTCATATATTTTGTAAAAATAATTATTAATCATGTTAAAACGATCTCCCCAATGAAAATTTTACTCATTACTTTTTTTTAGACAATTAAAATTTAAACAATTTTTGTATGAAACATTATTTCTTATTATAACCGGTTCGTCAGACATGATGCAATATTCGTAGATATCCCAATTTCGACAATACTTATTTTTCAATTTTTCTAGAAAACTAGTGGGTTTAGAAGAAAAATGATAGAAATCTAAGTTATACAAATCATTTATATCTACAATTTATTTCCTATACATTTTTTTATGAGAGCACTAATTTACGAGTTAATGGCAAATAACAGAAAAACTACCCCTTTTAACTAATTTTCAACCTCAAGTCGGCACAGGTTAAACTTGTTTGATCGACCTGAAATTTTTTTTGTATTCTTTTTTATATGTATACAAATAAATTTGAGGGGTATGCACTAAGCATTTCCGAAACTTTAAAATTCTGGGATACCCTAATATATATATATATATATTAACTTATAAAATTGTAATTTTTTTTATAAATCTTATACTTCTAAACATTTTTTGTTAACATATTTTTTTTTAATTATACTATATTTTTAATGACAATATGAGCAAATTTTATAATCTTTGCACCATGCAGTAATACTTTATATACATTCACAGGTTTATATAGATGCCATTGAGATTACTTACAACTTGATAAACTTATGCTGTTTCTAAATAATAAATTTAAAAATAAAAGACACATATATAGTAGTACATTTATGCTTAAATTGACCCTAATGTAATTAAAAATGAATTAGTGATGTTATGGACCTTCACTTTTAAGATCAAATTGAATCGAACTTTTAATTTTTCAATAGTTTCCTAACCGAGCTGAACAATCCAAATATTTTATTGCATTTGATTAATTTTTAGGCAAAATATTTTTTTTATCGTTCTTCAACAAATTCAGAACGATATTGAATTTCACTAATTTTTGAACCAATTTACAAAGAAAAAGTTCGGTTCTTTTTTTTTCAATTTTAAGTTTGATATTTGAATTCAACTGAACATCTTAAGTTCTTTTTGAAAATTGAAGAGTTCATATATCACTAATCATTATTTTAAGGTAAATGAGGAATGGCTAGCATTAAAATAATCACCTTGTATAAATACATCTTTTCCCTATCACTCAATTTTTACTATAATTATTGAAACCACCAAAACATTAATATGTTTAAGATGAAATACACATACTGTACTGAGAGATTGTGCACTAACAAAATTAAAAAAAAAGAAAAAATAGTGAATAATAATAATATAAAGAATTATTTTATACTTATTACAAAATTTTTAAAGAATGTTGAAATCTGCTGATGTTATTCCATATGCTAAGTACCATATAAACCCTTCCATTTACACTCATGCTTCAAGTTCACATTTTTATTTATACAAAAATAATTTACTTTAATCAATTAAAAACTAAAATTTAAGAAATCAATATTTATAATTTATATTTTGTAATTTTATCATACAAAATTTAATATGTAATGGTATCTTAAAGTTACTTAAAAATATTACAATTATAGTTATAACATTTATATTTAATAATACATTAATTTAGAATTTTAAATAATGTCTAATACACTACTAGGAATTGGATCTGAAATTGAATTAGACAAGTCCATTGATTGATCTTCCTCCTTTTTATTTTCATTACTTTTTACTCCAATTTCATCTTCATCGACACTTAAGCTAGCAAGTTCTTGCATTAATTCAGGAGAAATTTTTAAAATCTAAAAAATAATTAGTAACTTTTTATGCAGATTTATAGCTATAGGCGTAATTAAAATAAAACTTTTGGTAGGTCTAAATTTAATTTTCTCCTTCTTAAAAAATAATTCTCTTAACTTACACCTTCAGGATTAAGTGTTTCATATTGATGTTTTAAGGTTTGCAATTCAAATTCACTAGAACTACAAGCTGCTTTAAGTTCGTTTAGCAAAACGATTTCATTTCGTAAATCATTATAATTCTGGCAAATATCCTCAGTTGGAATAGGATTAAGTTCTACAAATAGATATTAGCAATAAATACAAACAGTGTATGTTAAACAAAATAGAAACCAAGTTCTTATACAATAAATATACAGTACATAAAATAATATAAAATTTGTATACTCACTTATTTTTAAGGATTGTAATGCTTGCTCAACATTTTTTACTTTCTTTTGACTAACATTAGCGGGTATTTTCATTCTTTGTGATCTTGTAGATACACCACTATTCTTAATATCAGGAAATTTTATAGTTGTAGCCTCAAAATTCTATGTAAAAACATTTATTATAATATTTAATATTTAATCATAAATATGTTTTTATTAAGTAAAGAATACATATTATGTTAAAGGTTTAATGAAAATTTAATTTAAACCTATGTTTGTATCTTACATTAGTTATCTTTCAAAATTGTTATAATCAAAGGGTACAGTGCAATAATGGGCAATAAAAGTCAGTGTATAAATTACTATGAAGTCTTGAAATTGATAAAATTTCATTTTAAATCATTGATGAAAGAATTTAGGTGTACATGATTTTTAAAAATAATTTGCCCTGTATTAGATTATGTCACAATTACATGTCTGTCAATTATATCAAACTGTAGAAAATATTGTTCTTGATTATTATGATTTTAATTATAAAAATTACATTAGGATCAACTCTTGTTGGCCTGACAGTTACAGGTAAACGCTTACGATGATGAGGTGTCTTTTTATCACTTTTTAAGCTTTTTCGACTCTCATTTTGTTTGTCAACAGCACTTATTAGTTTCTGTAAATCTTGAGTCTTACGATCTCTTTCCCGTTTTCTTGCTTCAATTTTTCTTTGTTCTTGTATAAGTATTTGTTCCTCTTCAATCTAAAAAATAATCAATCAGTTAATTATAAACCATTGCTTATAGTTCAACATATACTTGTTTAGGAGTTCTGTTATAAAGTCTTTCAAGCTGTTGCTTTCTACGAGTTTCGTGGTCTGCATCATACATTTTTGTTTCATTAACATTTCCACCTCTTATCTAAATAAAAATATATTATTTAAATCTACACTAACTTAAAAAATAGCAAAAATTGTTAAAAATTTACTTTTAAATTGAATTAATTATTCCAAAACTTACTTTTGTCAACGTGTTACATACAGAATAGTATCTATCTTTTAAGTCTTCAGTAGTTCGTTTAATAGTATTTTCATATTCACCATAATTCCACCGACCTTGAATGACTATAAATCGTAAATCAAATCGTTGACACATGTCAAATAAGCGGTCAGTTTCTTCCCGACTCCATGACTCAGATTGTAAATTTTCCTTATATTCAGTTTCAGTATACTTCAAAATTTCAATTTTCTACAAGATTAAAATTCAAAAGTACAATATAAATTAATTTGTCCTTTGAAAAAAATTAAGAAATTGTTAGCATTAATGATCATTTAATATGTTGTATTAGATAACTATTACAATTTTATGTACTAAATTAAATCAATAAATATTAATTCTTTATAAAAATTTCAAAAAGAATGTTTTAGATTTTAAAAAACTTTACAAACATTTTTATTAATGGCTTAAAAATCCTATTGAGAACTAGATCAATCTCATAATAAAAATCTTGTCCAATTAGATTTTATTAATTTATTTAAATAAATTTATTAATTGATTTAAGGATGCAGAATATTGATAAAAAATCTTAGACACACTAATTAAGAAAATAAAAGCCTGCACATATTTTTCATTGGATTTATTTTTAGTAGAGATATATAAGTAAATCTGTTACTAATTACTTTGTCACTAATAATTATTGTAGTTGCTTTTTTTAAAGTAAAATAAATGGTGACCCGGGCCATACCAAAAGTATACTAATATTCTGCACACAAAATGAAAACTACCAATAAATGTATTGTTTTGATTGGCATCCTACGCGAAAGTATGTGTTTAGTGCTTAGGAAAGTATCATTGTTCCCGAAATACATATATGCTATTTTTTTGAAATTATTGTGTCTTTTTAAATTAAGTATTTTTTAGTTTTAAATTAATTATTTTTATTTTAATTAATATCAGCCAACAGTGATCAATTTTTGTTATTTAACTTTTAACTTAGTTATTGCCTACCTTTGTGTATAATATAAAATAGAATTACTTAAATAATACTTTTGATAATTCAATCCTTTAAAAAAATAGTTGTATTATATATCTTATTATATAATAGAACAAGGAAAAAAACGCATTTCTGGAAAAATTACTTAACGTGCTCGCATTTTCAAAATTTTTTTTTTCAACGAAAGTACTCGGTCAGCAGACTCCAGGAAAATTTTTGCCGCTCGTGTTTTAAAATTTCGACCATTTTTGAGAAAAACACTTGCTGACGCTAGCGTTTTACGACTTAAAGTTTGAAATTTTCATCAGACCCACCCAATGACATTCCTGAGATATGATAAAAAAATCAATTCAATCCATTCATTTTTCACCGTTTTACGAGCTTTTTTTTTTTTTTTTAAGTCTACGCGCTTGTTTTTAATATGGGCATTGATTCATTTCTGCTATTATGTTTATTATGAATCTTAATTATATGGTGTATTTTTATTAGGACACTATTTTGCATTTGCACATAGCACTATATTTTATCGAGGAATATTATATGTTATATATAAATATCAAGACGGTTATAATTATATAAGTTTGTACTTTCATTATCAGAACAGTACATTATTAATAATCTTTTTTTTCTCATATATGATGTATTAAGTAGAGTAAAAGCTTACAATGTTATTTCAATTATTGATTTTTGTTGTACCAATTTAGAAAATTATTACGAAAAGAAATTTCCTCGAGTTTTCAAATGAAAGGAATGCAGCTGCTTATACATTTTTTGGAAAAATAATATAATTAACTAATTATGTTACCCAAGAAGATATACAAGTGGATAATTAAGAATATTACATGTTAAACTAAAAAAAGACAGTTAATGTACCATAATATTTGTATTATGTTGTATTTGTTCCTATAAAGCTGGAATGTATGGAAAATTTTGTAAAAATAAGACTTGTAAACAAATATTTTAATAAAGTTAAATTAATAGAATTAATTTCCTCTCTGATAAAATAGCAGGTAAATATTTAATCTCACAATTAGCACTAGATAATAATGTACCAATATAATATAATATTAATCGTTATAATAAAACCTTATTAAATTTTGCAAAGGGATATTCTTTTCCTTCATCTGCCACTCTTCGCCAATGATAAAAAGCCACCTTATCTTCACGGGCTGGATTAACAAAGGGAGTCCATATCCATGGTCGAACACGTCTCATCCCTAAACGAGCTTTTTGGAGTTTATAAGTAGGCCCTAAAACAACAAATTTAATAAAATAATAAAAATTTCTAATCAAAACCTGAAATAAAAGTAAAATTAATACCCGTTTCTGTTTCAATAACAGGTGGAATATCTTTTTTGTCATTATATAGTAGTGCAAAAACTTCACGTGCCATTCCCTCCGGTCTTCGTGTTTGCCTAGTAGCTGATGGCAATGACATTTTTTTTTTAGTTTGTACACCAAGTATATCATCCTTAGAGACCTGTGGTCCTGCATTGCGATCTATGTCTAATATATCACGGATATCTTCCGACATTTTAGAAAAATACAATAATTTTCAATTTCCTTACAAAATGTGAAGCATTAGATTACTATATATTACATTAAATAATATTTATTTCATAAAATCTTAAAATAATTAATCAAATTGCTCTGTATTGATTGAATTATTGAAAATAATTATGTATTTAAAAACATGTTCAAACTTGTATTTAAGATAACACAGAAAATATCACTTCAATGCCAAGAGCGGCATCAACTCCACTGTTTATCAAGAATATTGCTTATCAACTAATTGAGTACATAGATGAAATACACATTGATAGGGCACGTCAACCAAACAAGTGGTAACCGATTTTTTGTTAATTTATACCTGTAAAGATAGCGCTATATATCCTCTTGAGAAATATTAAATATTTAATAAAAACTGTCTACATTGTTGATATTTAAGTAATAGCTACGATTATCCATAGTAAAATGAATAAGAAGTATGCTCGATCAAATTAGTGCGCATGATAAGCCTAGGGGTAAAATATGTAACCAACAATAAACTCAACGTGACGTCACATGTACATACATTGCGTTGTATATATTCTATATTAAGGGGCACTGTCCCGTTATAGTCAAGTATTTTAATGAACTTTTTTTAGTTAATTTCGGTTTTCAATTTCATTTATAATTTTTTTATTATTATTATTAACTTCAACTGTGTTGTAATACATCTTTATTGTATTATCTGCTACACTGTAGTAGTTTATAAACCAAGATTTAATTCGTTGATAAATCTAACCTGAGAAAAACTTTAACTGCATAGTAAAATTTTACTATGTTTAACTGCATATAAATAATTAAATATCAATTTATTGTGTAATTACTTACAGTAAGTATAAGTTGTTACATTATTTATAAAAAATGTAGTTTTAATGATTATTTAATAAATTTTTGAATTTTTTTTTTATTGCTCATTTCTCGTGATGCAAGTTTTTTTATTTATATTCCGTATTCTAAAATATATTTTTGTTCTAATAATGAAGTTTTTGACTTCATCATCCACCAAAAGATTATCTGAATTACATGCTTTTTTAGTTAATTCCAGTACCTCCTTTATTAAGCCTGGAGTTTTTCTAATATCATCTATTAAAAATTTAATCATAGGTATGTAAAAATATTTTATATTAACTGTATTTCTATAAGTACCATTTTCATTTAATTTTTTAAAAATAGTTCCTATGATTTTTCCTAAATTTATTAATGTAGGTGATGGTTGTCGTAATGTTCCAAATTATTTAACCTCTATGCAATCATTAGGTTCATTCAAATTATCTACAAGATTCGGATATTTGTATTCAAATTTAAAAGCTACATATCCCCATTAAATATGTTAGGCTGTCCTCAAATAAATCTGATGGATTATATTTATTATTAGCAGCACACTAAAAAAATATACAATGAAAAGGTACTAGAAATATTGAAATATTATATTATATAATTTTTATATTATAAAAATAAAATAAACATAATCTATATTTCAAGATTATATTATGCTATCTCTCTCATTCACTTAATAAGTAAAATAATTTCTATAAATAATGTTGATTGTTTTTTAAAATTCACATTAATTAATACTCATTCATTTTTTTAGAAAAAAAAAATGCTATGCGCTATGTTTTCCAAAAATGTACCATCTTAACTTAATGTAATATATTTAATATTAATTTCTTAAGTTAATGTGGTGTTAATTCAATGTTAAAACATAAAAAAATAAGTCTGCACACTAGTTAATATAGCTCACGTTTAATTAACGAGGTACAAAATCCTAATTTTTCATTAAAATACAAAAGTTACAACAAAAAAATGCATAGAATCTAAAATAAGTATCCACGATTAAATTTATTATAAAATATTATTGAATGCGTTGTTTTAAAGTAATTAATATAATTATGACTTAAAAATTATGTCTATCATATATATTATATCAGAATTATCAATTTAAAAATCGCCCGGTTTTAAAGTGCATTCGGATGCGGTCGTATTTCAACGATCGTATACGAATGCACAAAAACACAAGGCGATGCACTTGCGCGTACTACGACGAAAATGCTGACTGTGATCGAGCATACTTCTTATTCATTTTACTATGCGATTATCAATGTTTGGCTAACACCCCAAGTGGATAAGAATCAATTACTATTAAAAGGAGATTGCTTATTTTATTTAAATGAAACTTTTCGTTATAAATATAAATTCAATAAAACATAATATGTTTTTTATTTTATAAATTTTTATTTATATTTGACTAATATTTATTTATTTTTTAATTTTCTCTTAGTGTTGAAGATCTTTACTGATTATATAACAACTTTTTCGCTACCGATTTGTCCACTGTCAAGATTTTCATATTATTTAGTATTTAATTTCTTAATGTAGTCACAGAATAGATTAAACCAGAATGGACACTGATAAAAAAATTACATGTATTCTTATGAGAGTACGGTAATTTTGAGCTTATGTCGCTCAGTGTTACCATAAAAACAATAAAATAAATAATTGTATGCATATAATTCATTGTACTGTACAATAATTGTACATCGGCGGTTGATTTGAACTCTAAATGTATTATTTACATGCTAATTATTTTAGAAAATTTGCATAGTAAATTTTTTGGATTTATTTTATTATTATTTCTAAACATATAACACCATTTTAAAACTTTCAATTAATGTTTTCATTATGTGTAATTAGTTTGTTTTATTATATTTTTTATTTTATGTATATTTAATAAAGACTTATTTAGGAAAAAAAAATTATTCAATATCCACATAATATTAAATTTATTTAAAACATATATTACAATAATTTACAAATATCATATACATAAATAAATAATTTATAGATGAGTTAAAATAGACAATTTCCTATTTTAATTTTTTTCTCAGACATTAAATTTTTATTTAAAAATTTTATAGCTGTAAATATTCTAAATCTTGTAAACAAATTAATTAAATACAATTTATCAAAACATTTACAAGGGTGGTTAAAAGGTACATTACAAAAATAATTTTTTAATTCGGCTCCAACTCCATCTACAATAGCAAGTGTGGAAAAGTTATTAATAAAAATATTTTCTAATTCATTAATACCAATATTTACCATATATTTTTCATATTTACCAATAAACCATTTTTATAAACATTGTGTTTACAAACAAACCATTAATAATGGTGTTGAACAATGTGACCGTATATAAAGAAAAAAGGGAATACATTTTTATTTCTTAAGTGGCAACACTGAGCGATATAAGCTTGTTATCAGCAAAAACTAAGAGTGTCACTTCTGGTTTAATCTATTCTGTGATGTAGTGTACACTCTCAATAATAATATCGTCGTTATCAGTTGTTGACCGGCATTCGACGAGACCGGTTTGTGTTGTGTGTTTTTATATTAAAATGTTATTCTTCTAATAACTTGTGCATTTAATTTATTATAATAATAAGAGTAAAAGGATCTACAACACTTAACTTGCCAGTAATTAATTTAAGTGTGATATTAATTACTTATTACGCATTTTATAAGATTTTCATGTATCAAAATTATTAATTTATTTTTTTCAAAGATACAATAAAATATTTAAAAAAAAATGGACTTAATTACCCATTGCATTGATCGATCATCCTTCGGGAAACGGAGAAATCTGAGATTTGGGTTTTCTCTTATGTTTTAACCGTAATTTAAAAAAATACACTTAATTCCTCGTAATGTACTCATTATAATTATATAAATAATAATACAAATAAAAATATTAAGTAGTAAAACCATGCAAAAGGGGACCTCAATCTTCTAGTGAATATATGTATAGTGATTAAGGAATAAGGAGGATTTTTTATTTAGTTGAATATTTTTACATTGATAGGTATTAAAAACAACACAAAAATAAAAATAGGCATAACTATTTTAACAATAAGATATAAACATCGCTAATACATCCTGTTTTTAACGCAAATATAATCCTGGCGCCAAGATATCGTTAATATTAAATCGTATTCTTTACGTGGTCTATAGAACAAATTTCTTTATTAGAGAACTTTAAATAAAATTTTAGAAAAAGTTATTTTAAGCAATTTAAATTCCTCAATTGACATACCTTTCTGTGGTATTAGGGCACAGCTCCCATGATGATTTTTCAACTCCTCCTAATTATAAAATAATCTATCTGTCACTGCCTTCTTTTTAAAATAATTTATAAAAATATTTAGTCTTGTATTGTAATACCACATTTTATGTAAAAGTCCTATTACAGATTCTTAGTATAGTATTAAAATAAAATTTTAATGAAAAAATAATTACAAAGAGTTAAAATCATAGAAAACCTTACATTTTATCATAAAATGCAATTAACGTGATTAACAATCACTGTTTTATAATGTACATCATACATTAATTTAATAATAATTAATAAATTAAAAATACTACGTATATTTCAACCAATAGAAGCACTTGAAATTTACGCTATCTATCAGTATATATCGCCTGCGTCCAGCGTATCGTTTCTTTGCGTCCATTCCTGATAAAAATTGAACTGTCAAAATTATGTACGGCGTGATCTATGTGTATTTAATCTATGTACATAGTTAAAAAAATATGCTTATCAAGATAATAGATTATCACTAAACCAAGTACATATCGATTATTTAAGTATTCAATGAATTAATTTATTCAAAATTCTTACGTGTATTAAATTTTTTCTCTGGAATTTAATCATGTGTAATTAATTAGTTTTGCTAAAGTGTAAAATAAATTAAAATTATGATTATATACTCTTTAGAAAATGGAATGTATTTGGGGATATCATATTTTCAACATGTTAAAAATGTTAAGTGGTTGAAAAATAATATTTCTAAATATTTTAAAAATCGATCTCCCGTTTTAATTCGTCGTTCGCTAATTGTTGATCCATTTCAAATTGTAGTTGCTGTAAACAATGCTTGCCTAACGTATGATAATTGCAATATGGTTACAAAAACCTTGGCCACAGAAATCTTATTCAACTTATCTTCAACTAAAAATATTAGTCAATCATTAAATGATTGTAGTGCAGCTAATGAAGACGACGAATTTATTATTGCAATTGTTTCTGAATTGAATGATGTCGCGGAAATGAAAATATTTAGTGAAAAATGTTTAGATGGCCAAGAAATAAATTCATCAAATATCACAAAAAATGTTAATACAAATTTTGTCCAAAGTTATTATAATATTAATGAAGAAGAAATTAAGAATTGTAATTTACTTGATTCAATTATTAGTAGAATAGCCTGTAAATATATAATATAAAATGTAAACTTTTTTACCAATTCTTTAGTTTTTATGTACACTCGTTTTTTTTGTTCAATTCTTGTAAGTCATACTGATTATTAAAGAAATAAAAACTAATTTCATTAGATAACTAACTTCATTTATTTATGAATGTACTTTTTATTGTAAATTAGTTTATTTTAGAATAGTTAANTGTACTTTTTATTGTAAATTAGTTTATTTTAGAATAGTTAATCAAAAAATGAATTAGATTATAATATTTAATATAAAGATTTTTTTTAATACAGTGAAACAATATAATTGCAAAAATTTAACATGACAGTTTTTAATTATAATATTAGTTTAATACAAAGTAAAACAAATAATATATAAAACACAGTTTTATGAAGGTAGATGTTGGTCACAGTATTATTCAAGAATAATATAAGATAAATCAGTGACTATTTAATTTTTGTACTCCCCCAAGTTCGTCACTTTTTAGAACTAGGGGGTAGAATTGGTTTGCCACGATCTTTTCCCCTCAATTTTAATTCTGAAATAAAAATTAAATTTTTAGTAAATCAAAGATTAATTCTTAAAATAATTTTAATCTTTATTATAAAAATATTTTAGATTATTTATAGTACAAGTAAAGCTGAAAATATTATTAATATAAATACATTTAAAGATTTAGACAAGTTAAAAAGGTAGTGTAAAATTACACTCTATTTTTAAAGTATTGCACTATAATGATAATATGCAGATAATTAATCACTATGTTGTACGACCATTAATATAGTTTGCATTGGAACTGTTTAGACTTCAGCCCCACAGAAATATTTGTAACGGCAACAGAGATAACAGATAAAACACTGATATGTAGCAAATTAAAAAAAATTTATCACATTTACCAAACATTACATGACTCTTGCCTTTAGTTACCAATTACTCAAGTTTTGCTTTCATTAATCATATATTACAATGAATAAGCTTTTATTTAAAATGATATAGATATTCTGTTATCATTAAAAAAATGACAAAATTAGCCATTTTTAATAATAATTATATGATTTTTTTGTTACAATGCCCAATAACTTCTAGAATTCAAAACTTGAGATAATTTTTATTAATGATTAGATTTTTCGGATGATTAGGAATATTAGACAAATTTTGAATTAATCCCTCCAGTTTTTAAAAATTTATTTTAATATAAATTGAAAATTAAAAGTATCAATATAGATGGTTTTATAAAAATTGTAATTTTTGGTGAAATTTCCCTTTATTGAAGACAATTTTTCAAGATTATGGCATTGATAGTTTCAATTAGATAAATTTTATGTATAATCATTTGACATATCTTTAAGCAAAACTATCCATTAGGGGAAAGATAATTGTGTAATGACACACAAAAAAAAAATAAATAGTAAACACAATAGTTTCTTAGATTTGCATTGAAGTTAATAAAATGCTATTTAATAAACTTTTAGTTTTTAAATAAAAATTGTAATATTTACTATATAATAAAAACTATTCCATTATCTTACCAAGTACTCTTTCAATCTTACTAATGATTACTTGATTAGGTATTCCACGTCCAGCCTCATAATCTTGAATAACTTGTGGTTTTTCGAATATTTTCTATAATTATAGGACACAATAAATTTACTAGATTCATTATAATATCACAAAAAAAAGATTTAAATACAGTAGCCAACTGTTTTTGGTTCAAGCCTTTCTTTAAACGTCCCTGCTGAATAAGACGACCCAAGTCTATTGGAACCGTTTCATGCTTCAATTCTTCAGTTTCTCTATCCAACTTGGCTGTATTTTTTGTAGTAACTTGATGTTTATTTGTTGCAGCACCCCCTAAGCAACAACATAAAGATAATCTAATGGAAAGTATCTATGAACAATTGATTTAGTAGAACTAAATTATTTAACAACATAAAGAAAGTAACAACTAGTAATTGTATGGACATTACTTCTATATAGCAAAACAGAAAGAAAGAAAATTTTAAGTAAAAACATAACATTTAAGTATTTATCCTTAAAATCATGATTAGAAGCACATGGAATAATCAATAATGTTCTAAAAAATCATAAACAGTCATTAAACTAGAGGTATAAAAGCAGTTTAGTTCTCACACAATTTTTTTTTACTGATTACAAATATGCAAAAATTAAGTTTCAGCTAAAAATAGTTGAAAAGTTATTGCACTTAAAAGTTTGTGTATAATGCTGAGTGCATGTCATTAATAATGTTTTGTTTATATTTAAATAAATCATAAATCGCAATAAAATCAAGAATTATTTTACAATGTGCACATCAAAAAAAATTGTTGAACTATGTTAATGTAGACATGTCATTATACTAATATGAATACCTCTATTTTAACTTTAATCAGATTATTTACTATAAATTAGTAATTTACTCTATATTATAACTAGAAAGCTTAATTATAGGCTTATTTATGGAAAGCAACAGATACAATTTTATGTAATGTTTCAGACTTATTGGTTTAAGATACCTTCAGTCTGATACGTTTAAATGAGACTAGAGTTACTTATCTCTGGGATTTGGGTGTAATGAGTCTCCATCCTACAACAATCTTATAGGGACTCAATTTTTGTCATCTGACCCAACGAATGACAAAATTTTTTCTAAAAAATGATATATCTTTAAAAAATGCATATTGTATTGAAAGAATTCGAAAATTTAAAATTAAAATCAAAAATGGAGACGCAGAGACTTCCCATTTATAAAATAATAATTTAAATTAAAGTACTTTTAATTTAAACATTTACCTATAAAAATTTTTAACAAAAACTACAAACAAAAAAATATTAATAGTGTGCACTCTGCCTAACAATAGACAATAGACAGACTTAGGACTCTTAAATGGCCCAAACAAAATTTATAAATACATAAAACTCTGAGATTTAATAATAAGCATAAAAAAATTGAACATAAACTGATTTTGTTTTGAATTACATACCACGGAGTAGTTCACGTTACACATAATTTACTATTACATTATGACCTATCTGTATAAATAACTGAAACCTTCAAATTAAAATACTGTACCATAGTAGTTAAATAAGCAATTAAATAATAATTTAACTAACTATTTAAACAATTATTAGTAAAAACATAAATATTTACATTTCACTTGAGTTTCAATAGTAGCACCTTCACGTCTTGCTTTATTGATGGCCTATAATAAAATACAAAAAATTAATAAAAATAAGGATATTTAAGAAATATTTATGAAGCACCTGCTCGGATTTCATAGTAGATGGCTTTGGAGGTTTCTTCCTCAAAATAGTCACTGTATTCCAATCACTCATAGTAATGAATTTATTTTCAAATAAATCTGTAAGATTAAAAGATAAAATACCTTTTATCTATTTTTTTTTAATATCATAAAAGTTATAAAATAGTTTATTAGCTAAAATACAAATGAATTTATTAACAACTTCAATACGCAATAAACAGACTTAAAATGAATACTTTATTTGACGTAAATAATGTGGAGAATATTTTGTTGATAGTTGAATAAAGGTTTATTGAGGCTACCATTACCATATCAAATGTTATCATATCTCCGATTCATTATTAAACATATGGCTATGTACATCCACAGACTTTCTAAGTACTCAGTATGACGTAAATACTTCAGTGATTAATTTGTCAATACTGTATATTTATTTAAATTGTTCATAATACATTATAACATATTGTGTTATTTTAATTTTATTTGCGGCATATAAACTTAAGAATCATGAAATATGGCTAGGTATAAAATACATTATGATTAATGATCACATTTTATGTTTCGAAAATTTAAGTGATCATCTCAATAGTTTCGTTTAAAAATACCGATTATAATTTAAAATACTCTATTTTTTAAACAAGACTAGTATTTTAAAATAGATTTAATGTTTTATAATTTTTCATCACAAAATCATTTATACTATTAAAATTAACGTGCGTGCACTTGTGTTAGTACTAGTCAGTAACAAAGTGTACCGTAAAAGGTTTTTATACCAGTAAGGATGTGTTGCTTTATGTGATCGATTTTAATTAATTATTAATTCTAATATTTCCTGAGGCGTAGTTATGGAATAATCTGTATATTAACAGAATTAGTTGGGTATTTTAAATACCTAACGCTCACTATACTGATGGTTAATTAACAATATCACCATGGGCGCCCGCAGGGGGGGTAAGAGGAGACGTTTGCCCCCCCTGGACTTTGGAAATACATTTTTAAAAATTATAACCAATCTGATTTAAATTTGTATAATCTGAAAATTTTTATTTAGTAATGACTCATGAATATATATAATAGTTATATATATATATTTTGCAATTTTCAGTTAATAAACACTTTATTTAATGTTACTTTTTGGTATTTAATTTTTTTTGGTCCCCCCTGACAAATTTCCTGCGGGCGCCCATGAATATCACATACATTAAACGATCACAAATTAAATTTAGATTTTAACACTGCATTCAGAACTTAAAAAATTATATCAAACTTGAAAATTAAAATAAAATATTGATATTTTCCGTTTCTTTTTTGCAATGATTTTTTAAATACATAAACATAGGCGTATAAAGAATTTTTTTGCAGTCGTGTCAACGGCGGCGAGGCGAAGCAATAAAACCCAATTTATTCCACCTACAAAAAATTATAAGTGGTCGTAGAAACATGATTAATATGTCAAATTAAAGATGATAAAATCATCAAAATCCGCGATTTTTAATAAACCAATTTAACAAATTTATGAAAGTTTAAAAAACGTAAACTTAGAAAAGCTATAACTTTTTCAAAAATCATTTATGTACGGATGTAGATAATTATGTTGTGTTTAATCTGATTTATTGGTGTCTCTGCGACCACTTAATCCTGTTCTATATTTTTTTCGAGCTAAATATATTTATATTAATAAACCGTTTGGTTGGGTGCTATAAGTACTACCCTTGTACACATCTGTAAGTTTAAAGGAAATTATTTTTACAAATACTAGAGACACCAATTTTTCATTAATGGTAGTAATCAATAGTTTTTACCATTTCTTTTATTTCACATTATAATATTTTAATTATTAAACTCTATATTATAATGAGTCACTCAGAAATTAATAAAATTAGGACTAAAATATTTTGTAGGAAGGTTTAATATCAAAAAACAAAATAATAGGCAATTCCCTCTGAGAGCACACAATTAATAATAGAATATATTTTTTTTAGAATAGCCGATAAGATTTCCACTTCTTTTAACTTTTATTAAACTAAAAACATAACTTTATTGTATTCTAAAATATATCATTCTTCAGGTAACATCAGAGAAAATAGATTAAGTTTAATTTTATTTTTTTTAAGTGATAATATATTATTTAAATATTAAAAATATTCTAAATAATAATTGTATTAATTGTTTAAAGCATATTATCATAATATTTTTGTTAGAATTCTTTATCTCAATGGTTAAACAATACATCTAATAATTCAGTTATGCCCAAGACACAGATTGTTCTATTATGAACAGTGTTAAAAACACCAAAAAATTTCAATTTTTACATATGTATTATGTGAGGTTTATAACTATTAACTTATGTTTAAAACAGGTTTTTTAATCATGTTTTTAACAACCCTGTCTAACTAACATCTAAGAATAAATATTTTACTATTTAAAGCTACTAAATATTTTAAAAGAAACAATGAATTTATAATTAAATACATATGGGTTTTGTATAAACTATTAATTGTTGTAATTTTGTCAAACATTTTTTTGTGATGATACATATTGTACTTCATACTAATTTGTTAAGCATAAATTTTCTATGAAAATAAAGGCCCAAGTCTTTTTATTAAATAAGACTTAATAATATACATCAACATGAAGTCTCAAATATTACTTAAATTTAAGAAAAACTTTTTCCTATGATTTTTAAAGTACTTTATTAATTGATTTTAAGATAATGTGACACAAAGAATTTTAATAGCTTAATTATTAGCAATATACAATTGATTTCATTCTTTTTCTTTATATAAAAAAATAAATATGAGGTGTGTTCAAAAAATACTCAACATTAAAGTTATATTTAAAACTTGTAATCTATTTAAATGAATCATCTTTAAAATAGTTCCATTTAACTTTAATTCAATACTCCCAATGGTTTTGTTACTTTTAAATTTCTTCCAAGGATATAGCCTTTAGCTTTTGTGTCGCTTTATGGATGGTTTCATTAATGTTTTTGAATCTATAGCATTTGAGGGCAGTTTTTAATCTCGAAAAAAAAAATCATAGGGAGCAAGCAAATGATTAGGAAGATGATCACTATTAATTTTTTTTTGTGCCAAATATTCATGTATGGAATGTGCTGATTCATTATTATGGTGCAAAATCTACAACTTTGATTTGTTCGTTGTTTTTAATTTTTTTCGAACAAGAGTAATGGTTTCATTTGTTTTTAACGTTGATGGACACCCAGGATGATAGTTATCTTCAGTGGATGTTTGAACCAATCAAAAGTTACACAACAGCTTAATAAAACATTTCCAAAAGCTAATTTAAACAGTTTAAAAGTCTCAATAGCATTTTTGCCAATTTTGTAACAAAGTTTAATACATTCGTATTGTATCATAATATTACCCATCGTAAAATCATGATTTTACACAAAACAACAAACTTTGTATAAGCACTGTCAATGTCTGATTTGAAATAACAACTTTTATTATATACTGCAATATTGGTTATTAGTTCTAAATTATTTTGATGTAGTAACATTACTATTAACATTAAAAGTTTTTCTGTATTTTAGTTTGGGTATTTTTTGAACACACCTTGTATATAGAGTGATCAAACTCTGGAAAAAACACTCATTTTTTCAGAAAATATTGAAATTTTTTCATTTTTATTAAGAAAAATATTTGGTTTATAAACTTAATCATAATTTGTAGTTAAATAATTTTTTCAGGAATGAAAATCCTTAAATTTAATTTTCTTAAGTGGAAAACCTTATTTTTAACTAGGTAATGTGATAGAAAAAAATAATTTTGTTGTTGTTTTTTATCTGATCAACCCTTTATTTTAATATTGTTTAAAAATTTTGCTTTCAAGTAAAAATTTATCATTAATTTAGTTTTATAATATTGGTGGCAGCAATAGTCTGTTTCGAAAGATCATAAATTATTTATTAAGATAGTCATCAAAAAAACTTTTCTTATCTATCTAACACTCAATTTTGCTATCTAATTTGCCATACCTTAATCAACAATAATTGGTTTATAAGACAGCATACAAAAATTAAGTCTACTGTATTTAAAACAATAAAATAACAATAGAATTTTGGACTAAATTCAGTTGTGTTTTAAAAAATGAACAGTTAATTGGATAAAAAAGTTGTAAGAACAAAATTATTCGTACTTTTTTCTACTATCATATTATAAAGTCAACAATATGCATTTTCATTTAAAAAAAATAAAATTTAAGACTTTTTAATCATAATAGGATGAAAAAATACATTTTTTACCACATATTATTGTAGTTTTTTTAAATCAAATAATTTTTCTCATAACAAAAGTTTTAAATATTTAATAGTTTTTTATCAAATGAGTTTATTACCAGATTGTTATCACCCTATATTACTTATATGTGAAACTTACAGTTAGATTGATGAATTTTTTTTCATTTACTGTGTAGAATTCAAATACTTAAGGCAATTTGATATTTTATTTTAAATACATACTACTCTAAAAAAATACATATATTTTTTCTATTTATCAATTTTTTTAGTTTTAATTATGATTAAATATTTATTCTAATTATTAAGAAAATATTTATTATATTTATGTTTTTTTTTTAAATTAAAACAATATGAAAAAATTTGAAATGAATTTTATTAAAAAAAAACTTTATTTATTATTATTTTACTTTATAAACTAATCATTTATAGAAATGCAGAATTACAAAAAATGTTATGTTAAATCAGTCTGTTTTGAATTTATCTAGTTCTGTTGTGAAAAGCTTTTTAACAACAGGATAATTAAATAAATTAAAAATAGACATAAGATATTGTGAAGTAAAAATAATTGATTTTGTCATTTATTTTGGTTGTATTCTTACACCTGGACAACCTATGGTACATAAATTTGCTTCATATCCATAAATTTTCAATTCCTGTATACATTCTTGTATTTTAGATTTGTGAAGATTTGGTGGAACAAGACAAATAGCATATCCACCTTTTCCAGCTCCAGTCAACTTGGCATGAAGATTATATTTTTTTAATATTGCTACTATAGCATCCAATGTCTCGTGAGACACTCCTAGAGCCATTAACAATGCCTGATTCATACTTATGAGATTCTAAAGAAACATAATTACAAAAAAAACTATGTTATATAATATAAAATAACAAACTTATTTACTTGTAACACGTGGATTTGTTGTAGTTCTTGATTAGGATTTTGAGCCATTTGATCAATAGCATTTGCAGCTGTATTAACAATTTTTGCTATTGAATCAAAAATACTGTCAAGTATTGGTCTGTATGTGTTATCATTATATTTATTTTGAACACTTTTTACTACATGGCCAGTTGATCTTTCAATACCTAAATATTTAATAATATATTGGATAAAAAGTTTAAGTTGCATTGAGTAACTAAGTCACCGTTTAGAACTAATTTCACAAAATAGTCTCCTAGTAAATATAAAAAAAATCTTTACATGAAAATAGATTTATCACCTGTCAAAATTTTGAAATCTTAAAATACTGGTATTATAAAATATCCCTAAAATCTATGTATTTGTATGATATTAGTGTAGTGGGGTTAGGGAATAATTAGTATTAGACAATGAATAAGCAGTAATTAATCGCGTTTGAACCGTTGTATAAATATATTGTGTTATAAGTTGTAAGTGATTCACCTTCAGATAACTAATGTTATAACATTGTACTTTTATTTCACATTACAACGACATCTACTCCAACATGTTACTGTCTTATCCTAGGGGGACACAACAACTGGTGGCAACGGAAAAGTAGAAGTTTCTTGTAGGAGTAGATCAAATTGGTGAGTGGAATGCGTTGTACCATAATTTGTACATCAAAAGATAAATACATACATACATATATATATATATATATATACACACAAATATTTTTATATTTAAACTATCTCAGATTATTATAATTAAAGTAGTTAACATATAACGCGACATTCGGGGAATTTGCTGTCTCAACATTCAGCCTTAGAATTTTGTAATCGCTACTTAAAAAATTTTTTTACACACACGGTAGTAGAACATTGAATTTGGAACAAACAGTTCTTATAAGTTTTGAGACAACTACTAACATTTATCCTGATCTACCTTCTAGTTCCGAGTCCTCAGAGTTCCTAAATATTTTAGTAAATTTTTCTATTAATAAGCAATATACAATAACAGAGATTTCTTTAGAAACCACTATTAAAATTAATTCCGTTTTTTAATTTCCTCTACGTCAAGTAGAGGAAGAAATTTATCCGTTTATAAACGCGTGCGAATTTGCGATGTCATGCATTCAAAAAGATTTTAATCTATTTTAATAAAAGCCATAACTACGAAACTAAGCGGTAATGCTTTCGCGATAACACAGAATAGGGAGATAATCGATTGGGACGATCATGAGTCGTTACATGAGACGACGTTTTGTTCAAAGCGAATACCGGGTTATTTACAATTAGAACTGAACTCTACCCGTCAACTTCCTGCGTCAAAGATTTATACTCAAACATTAGACAGGTATTTAAAACTAAGAATTTAGCGTCATTAGAAGAGGCAATTAAAGAAAGTCTAGACGAGGAAAAGCTACAGGTATCAAATAAAGAAGGACGAAGATTAATTAACAATAATAAATAATAAATCTAGAACAAATTCTAAGTATTGTAGGAACTGTCGGAAAACAAATCACAATACTCACCAATGTCGTTTTGTAAAAGTGGGTGGACGAGTTCAAAATACAGGGCAGAAAACAAGTTATAACAAACACGCAAATTTCAAGAAAATAACGTGCACTTATTGTAAAGCAAACGGACATACTAAGGAAGACTGTTTCAAGAATAAAAGAGCTAATACTCGTCAAAACATGTCTCAATAATGCTTATCGNAAGAAAATAACGTGCACTTATTGTAAAGCAAACGGACATACTAAGGAAGACTGTTTCAAGAATAAAAGAGCTAATACTCGTCAGAACATGTCTCAATAATCGAGACATATCTTATCTNGCTAATACTCGTCAAAACATGTCTCAATAATGCTTATCGAGAAACTAGGAGACATCGAACGCCAGGGGCGAGCAATAAATAATAAATATAATCAAAGCAATAACCCAGACGTAAAAAGATCATTGCAATTTATAACTAAATTAGAAGATAATCACGTAACATTCTCAAGTCCACAGTGTGTAACTAGTAATATACGATTACTTTTGGATACTGGAGCGGACCTCAATCTAATAAAAATTAACAACTCTCTACATGACGAAGTGATCATTAACACTGATAAACAGCATCAACTGCAAGGTATTAGTGATCAGTTAGTTCGAACAATCGGTTCAACTCAGTTGAAAATAAAGTTTGGTACAAATAAACGTACGTTCGAATTTCATGTGGTTCCATCATCATTTCCAATACCTCAAGACGGTATTATCAGTAAACCATTCTTAATGGACAATCGAGTTGTGATTAATATCGGAAAAAGTGAAGTATTGATACCAAAGAAAACCAATATGGTACTATTGGCACGCAGTGAACAAATAATTCCAGTCAATGTCAATTATCAACAATTGGAAGCTCAGCATGTATGAATTCATGCGCAAGCTTTGGGTGAAAATATCAACTGCGGAAATGTTTTAAATAACGTGACAAACCAACAAATATTAGTAAGCTTAATCAATATTGCAGACTGCCCAAGGACTTTACGATACCAAAACTAGAAAATATATCATTTAAAGTTATTAACAAATCCACTATTTTTCAGTCAATAATATAGACATAAACTTTTCAACTTGTCAGACAGATTACAAGTGTTAAGAGAATCTTTGGATGTTGATCATATGACAACAGAAGAGCGAGAAGCTACTCTGAATTTATGCAACGAATTTTCTGATATATTTCACTTAAATGGGGATAAAAAAACCTGCACAGACGCAGTTTACCACGAGATTAATACACCAAGTACAAGTCAACCAATTTACCAAAAACCGTATCGATAGCCTTATACACAACGGAGGGAGAAATTGCCAAACAAGTAAAATAAATGGAGGAAGATGGTATTATAGTACCTAGTAACAGTCCATGGAATACGCCGCTTTTAATTGTATCAAAGAAGGAAGATAGTTCTGAAATACGCAAATACAGAGTAGAAGTCGTTTTTCCAAAGAAATATCTTTGGAAGATCATCAGAAACAACTAAGAGATGTTTTTACATGACTTCGATCTTTTAATCTGAAACTACAACCAGTAAAATGTGAATTTTTACGAAAAGAAGTCGCTTATTTGGGTCACATTATAACGGATAACCGTGTTCAACCTGATCCCAAGACTACAGAGTGTGTAGTAAATTTTTCAATACCAACTAACGTGAAGGAAGTAAAGTCATTCTTAGGTTTAGCTGGATACTATAGAAAATTTATTCAAAACTCCAGGTACGATGAACACTAACGCTGATGCGTTGAGTCGTATAGCAAAAATTGAAACCAATTCGACAACTATCTATCGTCTGAGTATCATATTTTTTGTCAAGAGATACAAAATAAGATTATTTTAAGATAACCCACATTTTACAGAAATGGAAGTAGATTTGTTTGATGCTACAGAGGAATTTATATTAGTCAACTGTGTATCAGCAGATTTTAAAATATTTCAAGGAGTCGTATTTGAATTTCCACGGAATTTTGGACAAATAGAGGAACTGATTGTCAAGAAAAGCAAGTCACAGAAATCGCTAATGTTAAACATAACGGCCGACATATATTGTATATTATAAATAAGAAAATATTTATGGAAGAACCTACTATGTCTGTTATGTTTTCAGCCATAAAAAATCTACGTCGATTCTGCCACGAGCAAAATATTACCAAATTAGCCATGCCTCGAATAGGAAGTGGCTATGATCAGTTAAACTGGAAATAAATACGGACCATATTCAGGTATATTTTTAGAAAATCGAAAATATATATATTAATTTTCGTGAACACACGCTATTCTGAAGAAGAAAAACAAAAGATAATAGAAGAATTTCATGTTACGCCACTAGGTCATCAGGGAGTGTCTAGACTCTAGAACAATAAAGCGTATTAAACAACACAATATATGGAAGAATCTAAAGAGAAACGTTAAGGAATACGTGGTGTTCAACAAGGGTAATACCTACATCTTAACTATATAAGACAATTTGACTAAATCTGCAGCAGCAGTCGCTTACCTAACCATACAGCAAGCACTATTGCTCAAGCTTTCGTTGAACAGTTCATCTGTTAACATGGCATTCCTGAGTCAATTGTAACTGATCAAAGTAGGGACTTCATAAGCAAGCTGTAAACATCTTGCTGTAAGTTGCTGCAAATCGTAAAGATCAATACAACGGCGTACCATCCACAATCGAATAGGGCCTTAGAGAGATCACGTCGAACTCTCGCTGAATATTTTCGTCACTACATCACTGAAAAGAAACAAAATTGGGCGAATATATAGCTTATGCTATGTTCGTTTATAACGACACACATAGCCACAGGTTTCCACCACATGAACTACTATATGGTTATCCAGCCGAAGTTCCGCATTCACTAAACAGGGTGCCACAACCGTGTTACAATTATGATGATTTTACATGTGAGCTACGTAGAAAATTACAAGAGTCTCATTCCATAGCTCGTGACAGACTTATATCAAAGAAACTGAAATTAAAAAGCCACTATGGCAAAAAACAGCGAGAACTTAGCCTCAATGTCCGTGGCAGGGTTCTATTAAAGGAACACCAGCAACTGGGAAAACTTCAACCCAAGTGGCTGGGTCTTTCGAAGTCACATGCATACATAGCAAAGAGAATGTATCCTTAAAGCGTGGACGAAAAGAAGTACGAGTTCATGTAAACGAACTAAAGCTGTTTCACACATCTTAGTTTGACGATATATTTAATTATAGTATCGTAAATAATATCTAACCAAATAAATAAAATAATTAATCAGTATGCGTATGAAATCCAAAATTTGATTAACATTATAAACTTTGCAATACAAGGATTATTACACCCTATTATCATGAATACAAAATCGTTAATAGAACAAATAAAAAAAATTAAGTCTCATTTACCTCTAGATGTAATCATCCCTAATAGTTGGTTAGTATCTGGAGTATCAGAACTATTACACTTGATAAATATAAATGTTGTATATATTCAAAACACCTTAATTTTTTAGTTCAAAATTCCTTTAGCTAATAAGTATGAATTCACTTTGTATAAACCAATCGCATTACCGACAAAAACTCACGATAATATATTTGTTGTAATAGAGTATCACATGGATTATAAGCAATAGAAAAATCTAGATTGTATTATATAGAATTAAATATAGAAAAATTAAACTCCAGTAAATATATAGCTGAAACAATATTATGTCCTTATGATCATTATATTTTTAGTAAAGATAATTCATGTCATGCAAAATTATTTAGACAGCAGATGTTTTACCTAAAGATTGTATTTTAAAGTATGTAAAAATTAATCGTAACATTTGGCATAAATTAGAATATGTAAATTCATGGTTATACGTAGTTAATAAGGGTAATATAGTTATTAAGTGCCATCAAATTGTTCAACCAGTAACATTAAGTATATCTGGAAAGAGTATTTTAAGTTCAAAAAATAACTGTGACGCTAACACTGATGACAAAACAATTTTAATACCTTCAAGTAATATTACTTGAAAAATATATAAAGAATTTAGCCCAAATTTTAATTTAAGCATAAATTCTGACATACAAACTAAATTTAAAAAACTAAGATCAGAGGATATTACATTATTAATTTAAATGATAATGTAAAAACTAATTTAATTGACCTTTCAAAGTATTCTAAATGTTAAATGAGCTACAATTAGAAAAAGAAATACCATACCAAAAATATCCATTCAAGGAAACTCATATTTCTTTATTATTAATTTTAAAATTAAAATTAAGTAAGGAAGTATTAAAATAAGAGATACAATTAAGTAATATAAAAGAGAATGTACAAGAAAACAGAGTAGTTAAGTTTATATTCAAAAAAAAAAAAAAAAAAAAAATGGGTAATATGTTTTCATTCTACGGGGGGGAGAGTGTTATGAACCCGTATTGTTATGATATTAGTGTAGTGGGGTTAGGGAATAATTAGTAATAGACAAACGAATAAGCAATAATTAATCGTGTTCGAACCGTTGTATAAATATATTATGTTATAAGTTGTAAGTGATTCATCTTAAGACAATTTTATAGTAATAAATAATTATATTTCTAAAATTAAAGAACCATTGTATAAATATACACAATTATATCAATTAAAATAATTTAAAAAAATCATATTGTTAATTAAAGAAAATTTTAGAAGACCTCATGATAAAAATGATTTTCAAGTCTTAAGTATAAATACATAGATTTCAGGAGTATTTTTATGGAATTCCAGCATTTTGTGATTTCAAAAATTTGATAGACGACAAAAAATTTTTTTTTATTGATATACTAGGAAAAAACTAAACATAATACAAGTTTTAATACTATACAGGTAGTCTAAATTATTTTGACAAGTGTAAAAACTAACCTGAATAAATTAATAATATTTTCAATTCTGGTGCTTCTAGTAATTTGTAACTATTAAGTTTAGTATACTGAACCATAGTACCATAAGTACAAATTGTATTATCCAATCCAGAAGCCTTTGTGTGAATAAAATTTTCAGCTAATAAAGCCCATCTATTAATTAAACTTTTCTCCTAAGAAAAAAAAAATTTATATATATAGGGTTAAGAGAGGTAAATGTAAATTAATTGAACATTTGTAAATTCATTTATTCTTTTAGAATTTCTAGTAAATTTTATATTATATTGAAATTTTTGGTACTTATACATGATACTATCATATTAAATGTAAGTTTGATATAAAAACTTGTGCATTTATATAAAAAAATGCATTATAATTTCCCCATTTCACATTACTAATAATTATATATTCTTTCTTCATCACTTTGCTTTTTCCCAACTACATGGAATCAGCTACTCATTTCTTAATTATCTATTTGACATGATCACCCACATCATCTATATACAAACTACCTGTTCACATAATCACCCTTAAATACATTCAATAACCTCTTTTTTTGTTCTTCCTCTTCCTCTTTCAATGTTTATTTCCATAATTTAATAAATATATATTAAATCATCACCATTACCATTGCCATTTATGTAATAATTATAGTAATTTTATTTATATGGTTTTAAACATGTACTAAGTAAGTGATTATTTTGCAAATAACTTTTTCTTTTAATCTCATTTAAAAATGTATATTCTTTCTAAAAATAGATTTCAAATGGCGTTTTATTTTTTTTGAACTATAAAAAAGTTTTATTAAAAATTCAGCAAATTAATGATTTTTGTAATGCAACCATATTACAGTACAAACACTTATTATACAACCTCAGTATAAAACAATACAAACAAAATTACGAGTATTACAAAAAAATAAAAACTTTGTTTTTATTTGGTTAACATTTTAAGTTTAATTTCATCAATACATATTAAAAGATAATTATCAAAAAAAAAAGTTGTAGTTTTGGCCAGCTAAATATAAATATTAGATCACTGTGCTATGCCTTTATTGTCTAAGGATTGCTTTAATAAAACTTATATACAATAATTATTTATAAATATGATTTTTTAATTTATAAATTAAGTACACTGAATAAAAGTAAATCTTACCCCATCACTAAATGAGAAGTTATCAGTAAATGGTTCAATAATTAATAGATTGTCGCCACTTTGAGAGTGAAAATCGTCCATTTGAGGGTCAAATTGAATTTCCACATTTGAATTTATTTTAAATTTTACATATGATAAGCAAGCAGCAACTAAAGAAACACAATATGAAGCAGAACTGCCAGTACCAGCTCCTAATTTAAGAGCAGATTTAACTTCAATAGTAAAAGAGACACTTTTTAATTTTTCCATGTAACAGGTCAATATTCCTTCAAAAATAAAATTTAAAACAACAAGAGCTTTTTTTGTATTTCCTGATAAACAATCAATTTCATTATGGAATGGTTCATTTTTGTTTAATTTACATAATATTTCATTAAAAAACACAGTAGGAGAAAAATTGGAATTTTTATTAATATGAATAGTTAATAGTCCAGAATAATTTACTAATGGAAGTAGTATTCGACATGGAATAGTATTAGGCTCTTGATTATTGCAAAAACTTTCATTTAGTAATAATGATGTGTGTTGATCTATAGCACATGCTATAGCTGGTTTTCCATAAACAACACTATGTTCACCAAAAAGAATTATTTTTCCTGGAGCAGTAACTTCAAACTGTATATTAGAATTCATTTCCTCAGTTAAATAATGTAATGTCTGATTTATATATATATATATATATTTATTTGAAATTATTAAAATATTAATTTTCTAAATATAACTAGTTTTTATTAATATTGTTCCACTGCTCAATGGTTAAAGTTTTTTGTGAAAATGCATGAATTTCTTTTAATTCCTCTGTAAGTATTTCATTTACCATACTAAAAAGTAAAAACATATTAAACTGAAAAGCAGTAGTTGCACAGTTTTAAAGAACTTACCGATGTCGTTGAAGTAATGTTTTTCCAACAAATTTATCAGACACAATAATTACATTAAACTTAGCACCACATCCATCAGATTCATCATGAACAGACTAAAAAAAAATATATTATATAAAGTAGAAATTTTTAGATTTATGGGAAAATATTATATAATGTTCATTTTTTAACAGTAAATATTAAATTTAACAATCAAAATTTATTTATATTTTTTTATTAAAAATTATAAGGATGTATGTTAAAATAAAATATGGTAAGTATATAATTTATGATGCATTATTACTTAAAACCTTCCTCTAAAAACTTTAAAACACCTTTGGTCTGAATAAGTCCAAAGAATTGTATCTCTGTTGTAATTATTTATAACACAATTGCCAACATGGAATACATTATAATTTTTACCTAAATAGGTAACATAGTTGTTGATTTGCAAAAAATTACAAAAAAAATTTATGTTAATTTCTATAGCATGAGGTTTTTAAACAAAATTTAAATAAATTATCACTTTTCCTTCTAGTGCATTTGTGGAACAATGGAACAAAGATATACTAACTCTGTAAAAAGTTTTATATTGGTAGAGAACATAATAAAACCCTTAAATTATATGCTCAGTAGGCGTTCACTAAATCACATATCTACAATGTCAGAGATTTTGGCATACCGTTCTTAAAAAATGGGTAAATTTACATTATTACTTCCTCTATTAATAATAAAGATAAATGACAATTTCAGGATTTTGTCCTATACAGATACATGATTTATAATATCATATTTACATGAGAAATATTTTTACTGTTTTCAAAAAGTCCTCTAGAGAGAACCTCACAATAGTAATAGTATAAAATTAAGAACTTCATCAGTATTTTTATTCAATTAACAAAACTATTACCATTGTGAACTATAATCAAAATTAGTTAATTCCCTAGACAATTTTTACACAATTTAATGGCAAATAGATACAATTTTTCTTCAATTGCAAACATTTAAATAATTTCTCAAAACATTTACTACAAACACACCAGTAAATCAGTAAGAATATAATTTAAAAAAAGTTATCAAATTTATTTCATTTTTCCGTAACATATTATTTTATTCATAATTTCTAAGTATGATAATAAAAATGGTAAAATACAAATAAAAATTAATTACACAATATTTCTAAATAAATAAAACAAAATAATTCTTTTAAAAGTAAAATAAAATGGATTACATTATTTTTTTCAAGCAAAATTTCACAAAAAAAAAAAGAAATAATAGAAAAAGAAATTAGTACAATTTTTTTTTAGGAATATAAAGTATTAACTGTTGATAGTTAAAATATAACCAAAAACAAATAAAATGTATACAGCTATAAATAGAAATAAGTAATGGCCATAAATATGGATATTTCTTAGGAGGGGATATTATTAAGCAAATTAATGTTAAAATTACACACCCAGTTAATGAAAAATTTCGTAGCTTACTTAATTTTGAAACATTTTCTTCTTTTAATAAAATAATTTTTTTGCAGAAAATAAAATAAATTATAGATAATGAAATAAATGGAATCATTAAATCATCTTTTATATAAAGTGGTAACATACTAAATGATGTTATTATGGCAATCCAAGTACATATAAAAGTATTATAAGGAGCATACAATAATATTGGAATAGCTACAAGAAGAATACTTTTTTCATGAACTTGAAAAGAAAACAAAAAAAATGAAAAAGAGCAATTAATTAAGGAAAGTAAAAATTTATCTTTAGTAGGATATTTTAAAAGATTTAAACATGATGGCAAAACAGAAACTAATGTTGATAATAAACAAATTATTACTATTAATTGTTTGTTTACATTTTTTAATTTATAAAAAATATTTACAATACACCACACATTAGAAACTTTATCTTCAAAAATCCCTCGCTCTAATGGAAAAATTCTATGTATTACTTGAAATAGTTGGCTAGGATTTGTTATAAAAGGTGCCCATGTTATCATAAAAGTTAAAATTACACTAATACATAAAACAGAAAAGATATTTAATGCAACACTAAGTTTATGTTTTTTATAACTTTCTACTACTATTCCTATATAATAGAAAAAAAAAGGCACAGCATGATATAACTCCATCTGCTTATAACTAATAGCCATACAGAAAAAAACACAACTAAAAATATTTTTATTAGCATAAAGACTTGTTACACTAGCTATAAATAAGCCTAGAGACACACAATTATATTGAAAATGGCCATGATCGATAAGTATAAGTCCTGGGTACAGCAAAACCAACATAACTGCCATGATTTTATTAATCTGTTTATTATTTTTAATTTTAAATAATTGATTGAAGAAACAGTATACAGCAGGTATAAATATCAGAATATCGACTAAAAGAACAGAACATCTCATTAATAACTTGTGAGCTTCAGACTCAAAACCTCTTGATGAGTTTAGAAGTACAGATTCAGGAAGAATTTTTTTAAATAATAAACCATTAATATAACTGTGATATGCAGTAATAGGTGGATAATCTAAGCCCCAATACAACAGGTCATTGTCAGATGAGTTGAAATACCATTGATTTATTGGTAATGACACCGTGATTTCCATCCAATGTCGTTGAGCTTCATAATCACCGTACATGGGGGGTTTTGATTTTCCTGAATACCCATGTATGCTTACAAGCCAACGAAAAAGTAAAGCAATCATAAAAACATAGGTGTTGTCTAATATTCTATTTTGGTATAAATTCAACAAGTGATTGTAACTCATGACTAATTTTAGTACAGCAAAAACCATAAAAAAATGAAACTTGTTCACAAAAATCGTTTCTGGAAAAAAAAAACGATAACTACATTTTTTTTCTTTAAATATTTTAACATGATATTTAACTTTAAGAGTTAATATAGGCAGTTATTCAAGTTATTTTCAATAACTAATTTAATAGCTCCATTTTACAGATTTTCCATAAAATTAAATTGCCTTAATAGAAGTATGGTTATAATAACAAATACTATTCAAAGTGAGGGACGAACTAAATTAATTAGTTGATGGAAAAAAATAAATAAATTTTACCCAATATCAATTAAAAATTTTTTTTACTAAAACTGATAAACAAATTTAATTAAATTAATATTATAGTTCTAAGACATCTAATAAGAATACAATAGTTATAAAATCATCCTTAAACAAAGAGGAATAGAAATGATATAAGTTGAAATTAGTAATTCTAAAGAAATTGATAGATAAGTAATTGTCAATATATTTTTAATTATGAAGTTAACAACCACAAGAATATCTCTGAAAATATCTTTTTTATTAACTCATTATCATTTATATTCCTCTTTTGTTTTAAAATAGAATAAATTATCTAATAAAGGCCAATATTTTTTAATTGAATTTTAAATATTAAAAACCTTTTAATTAGATTAAGTTTCTTAAATTGTATATAGTTTTAACAAAAAATGATAACTGTTCTGATTAGAATACCAATAAAAATAAAAAAATAAAAGACTATAATAAATAAAAATTGAAATTTGCTCTTTTGAATATAAAAATTTAACACATGAAAAAAAGTTACAGAAAAACATAAATGTACATTGTTAACTAGGAGTTCCTGAAGATTGTTTAGTTTTCTTTTTTTTGGGTTTAAGTGGCAATGTAGAGCGCACTTTAAATACAGCTTCACAAGTTGTGCATATAGGACTGATTTTACAGTAAATAGTTAGACATAATGAGCATACAAATCCAATTGCAGTTAAATTTCCATGACAAAAACAAAATGGACGGAAATCCATTTGAGGGGCTAATGGTATGACTAATTTTTTTCTAGAAGTTGGTTCTGTTAAAAATATCCATTGCAAATACAATAAGAGACCTTCAAGTTTTGGCATTCTGAAATAGGAACCTTCTGTAATGTAGCATGCTTGTTTCAATAATGTGACATCATGAGTAAGACTACAAGCATCTATAGCTACATTTTGTTTCTGAGCAGTAAAAAATGTATTCATACAGCGAATATATTTATCTCCTTCATTATCACACCCTGTTATAATTAAAATCCTTGAATTCATAATTTCACCAGGAATTAAATTATTTTGTAATCTATTGATATAACAGAGTGCTTTAGCACATGATGCTCCAAAAACAGTATCTCTAGACATATGAAATACTTCAGAAGCATCTCTTAAAAATTTCATTATATTAAATTTAATAGAACGATCAATGTGACTAAATAATTCATATTGACTTCCGCCCATTTTACAACTACTAATCGTTTTTTTTTTGAAATCGAGTTCATCTTGATCTGAGTATATAAAATCACAACTATTAGGATCTGATGCAAGAACAGCAACTTTGTTATGAGTACGGAGCATAAGGTGAGAATTTGCAAAAGCTACTACTGAACTAAGTATGGATGATAATTTAATTTCACTATTAAGCAAAATATCTTGAGCAGGATTAACATCTAAGATTATCACTAATAAACTAGATGTAAACTCTTTAGGCTTCTCAGACTGCATTTTAACAAAAAATAGAATAATTATAATTTTTTTTATACTTATATATTATTGTATTAACACTCAAAATTTTAAATATTTAAACCAATAAAACTAAAATTTCGGATGAACACTAGCTAAATAATGTTTAGCGTTTTTTAAATGAGTGACTAAAAATTCTAAGTTTAAAAAGTGTAAACACAGGACTCAAAAATTAATATTATTAAAAATACTGTGATAACAAACAATAATAGTATTACTCCTATCACTATCGAAAACGAATTCAGTCATAAGCGAACGTTATGTATAGTTCTTCAAGTGCTCTCTAGAGGCGCTAATTTGGGACTTTTTGCGGTTAAAACATTAAATAATGTTTTAAAATGTATTAATTTAAAAAAATCCTTAAAATTAATGTTAAAAAATTATTTTTTGGAATAAAAGTAGTTTGGTTCCAATATGATTTTTTCAATTTTTTTAATCGATTTGTTTTTTACAGTGAATACCAACATGCATAAATAAAATGACGGTAAAAATAGTTAAGAGACGTCACCAGAGTTGGCAAGTGTAGAAGACCCCAAAATTTGTTTTAACTAATATTTGTCTGTAAGTTGCATATTATTTTGAAAATGTAAACTGGTAAGTCACTACGAAGAGTACAGGGAATGCAAATTTCCAAAATTAAAATCTTAGCTAAAGATACTTATCAATTTAAACATTTTTCTTTAATAGTTGATAAAAACTATATTATGAAAAATATTAATGAAGTGCGTATCCTGATAAAAACGTTTAATGGAAACCACGGTTTTAAATATTATCTCAAATCATGATGAGATCTTTGGTGGTATAACTACGGCTTTAGAGAATACGAACTTCGTTCTTATCAGCATTCCAATTGCTTATTGAATCGAATACGTTTAAACATTATAAAGATATATTTTAAAGGTGTACTCATATGTATAAACGTATAACCTCAAATTCAATTAAAAACAGCACTTTTGTGGACATTTGAAAAATTTTCGACTTAAGCGGAATACTGATAAGAATGATGTTCGTTGCCCGAAGTCACTTGGTCAGCACATTCCTGTGTCCTACAACAGTCAAACGATCATTTATTCTATATTTACGCAATTACATAATACTCAGGGGTTCTTAATAATACTCGTAAAAACCTTTACCCATTAAAAAAATTGAAAAATCGTGTGGAAGCTGCTAAACTACATTTGTTTGGAATGTAGAAATGTAAATTAAACTGAATAATAATAATAATACAAAACTGTCTTATTGCGCCATTTAATACTAAATGTATTTAAATTATTTTTGAAATTTTTATGGATCACATTATAACAAACATTGATCCAGATTTTATTCTTAATAGACTGATTACTAAAAACTTATTACCTAGATCAAAAAATGCAAAAAAACCATACTAATAACTGTAAGAAATTAACTGTTTTTTCCCCTTTAGGACCAAAGATTTAAGTTTTCAAGATTATACATTTTTAAATTTAAACTAAAGACATTAAGGTAAATATTTTATGTTATCACCATTTCAGTCTGGTGTTCTAAACTAAATTTAGCAAAATTAAAACGTAGTTAATTTTTTATTCGATTGCAAAATTTCTCAATTAATAAAAAAGGTTATTATTTTCCTAAATGTTTCTACATTTATCAATTTTATATGGTGAATGGCATGAGAAGGTTTTTTTTTTCACCATAAGCTTAACAGCATTATAATTTAATTGAGTTAGTTTTTTTTTATAATTAAACCATAGGTAATAGTTTACCAAATATATAATCAAAAATAATTTAATCAAAACTTGCATGTAAAAACTGCTGAAAAAATGACTCAAAACAATTTCTTCACTTTTATTTTTTTTAATTTTGTAACTTAAGGTAAAATTAAAAAAAAATATCTTTAATAGAACTGTTGTATCTTTATTAAAAAATATAGCTTTTGCAGACTATAGTTGAGTACAAAATCTGAATTTTTCCGTATTGGAATTACTATTCCAGAATGAAAAATACTGTCAGTCCACTTTAATCTGACTTTTGAATTGAAGTAATTTTAATTAAAAGATTTTATGTAATATTATTTCAATACTACCAACTGTATCAAAATAAATAATATTAATAATTAGTAATCTGGATTACAGACAGATCTAATCCATAAACTGAATAAATTAATTTCAGATTATGGATTGACCAAAAATATGTTGAGCTTAGCTATACTACAAGCACTCTTTATACAGTATTCAGTAACTATTCTATATCAATGGCCTTAAAATACGAAACAATATTTGAGTTCTTCATTTAAAATATTGACTGTCAATTTATTTAAATTTTGTAATTATTTATTCAAAAAAAATAATAGTATAGAACTATTGAAATAAAGATAATTGTTTATTTAAATTCAAGTGTAGAAGAATGATAATGATTAATAATACAAAAAATTTTAATAGAACCATAAAATCTTACTATTTCATAAACATAATTTTTTTTATCATAAAAATTTCAGTTGTACATTATAATATAAAGTATTTTAACTTACCACATAAAATGCATCCAGATTATTTATTAGTTTGTTTTTTAAATACTCTTCATTAATGGTCATCACTACAATTTAATGATAAAAATTTCGAAGAAACTAGTTCTTTATGTACAAAACATTAAACAAATAACAATTAGAAATCATAGCTTACATTGATAATTTTATATAATAGTTGCAATATTACTACTCACCACGAAGGTTTCATTTAGGTTTAATACTATTTTCAGTCTAGGCTCTTAGTATAAAATGACATTAAATATTCCGTCACAGAAGAGATTTTATCTATTCTATGAATTTGTTTTTGGATAAAGTTAACATTGAGGTGTATTTATCCATTTTGGGTGACATAAAATCGAATTGTTTAAAAGTAACTGATGAGAAAAAAAATAATAATAAGGAAGTATTATTTTCTTATTATCCTAATACTTCGACCTTTTTGCTAGAGCCACTAACATATATATTATAAAATAATAATTTATTATAACAAAATCGAATTAGTGATGGTCAATAAGTATCCATTTTTTCTGTTCGATACAGTCGGTACGATTATATCCCTGAATTTGTATATTTGACAAAGAATTGATTAATTCCTGAAAACATAGATTTTTTTTTACTATTTATTTATTTTTGTTTTTGTCACACTAAGTATAATAAAAAAAAACAATATATTTGCATGTAAGAAATTGAAGTAATTAAAAAAAAATTTAACGATTTGTATAGGAACTAATTTTATTGTCAAAGGTCGTGGGATTTATTTTAAGTTGGTATCATATCATATCACATGATATCAGTTAAATACCTTCTTCACTTTATTCATTAAGTTATCCTAAAATAACGGGAATTTTCGATATTTTGTAAAAAAATATTTATTTATTCGTCTACATTAATATTGTGGCCTTCAAAAAAGTCTTCATTAGATATTATGCACTTGAGACAACGCTTCTTCCAATCCTCGAAACACTTCTCAAACTCCATATTTGGGATAGCCTTCAGGTCATTCAGCGATGCACCTTTAATGTTATCTATACTTGTAAAAAAATTGCCCTATAAGGTTTTCTTTATTTTTGGAAATGGCAAAGAATTACATGTAGTCATGTCAGGTGAATATGGAAGCTGAGACATCGTTACAATATTGTTATTGGCCAAACATTTACAAACAAGCAATAAAGTGTAAGCAGGTGCATTAGCCATGAATTATTTTGCCACAAATCCGGTCGTTTTTCGGATTGCTTCGTGCAAACGACGTTGAACTTGTATTTAGTACTCCTTATTGACCATTTGACCTCGTGGCAAGAATTCGTGATGCACTATGCCATTAAAATCGACCCAGATTTAAATGTGCGCAAAAAATAAATCGATTAGTCTTTTTTTAGGCGTAGATCCTTTTATTTAAGGACATTTATAAGTCACAATTTGGACAGTTTCCTTTAGGACAATATCAAGTCGTGTAGTATAATGTCGATAATTTATTATGAACTCGCCGAAAAGGCGTCTTACCCTTGAACTTCACGGACTAAATCTACCAAATGAAAATCGTTCACACGTAACGTCCCATTATAATTTTCATCATTAATTTTGTTGTTATAATATTCTTTCGCTATGTCATGATCAAACGTCTCTTAAAAAACATACCCATTTCTTTTTGTGTCGTTAAAGTGAAGAGGTATGTTGCACGATGTGACTTCTGGGCAGTTTACTGAGGGCGCAAAAACATCCTATATGTTTATGAAATCATTGTGATGATAATTATTACATGAAAGACATACTAATATAGGTCCAACGACCTGCGTATGCATTAGTAATAATGATAATAAAGAAGTGTTTATTATCCAACGGCAACATATTACAGAAGTAACATTAGTAAAGCAGTAGATATATTTAGACTTTTTCGCGAACTCTGCCACATTAAACAAATTAATACTAATTATTTTATTATTTAATTACTCTCATTGATATTTATCAAATATGTAACATTGTAACTAAATATTTCTTTAATTATTTACTTTAAAATTTAGTTTAACGTTTAATTAAGAGGAACAATAATAGTTAACAGAAACATAATTCTTGTATGAGAGGATGGAAACCTGTATAGCTCATCAGTATTGGACTATAATAAGTCCGATAATAAATATAAAATTTACATGAATCTAACTTACATAAAATATAAATTTATACTTATTTTGATTATTTTGCCTCTTCAAAGTTAAAAAAGCTTTTTTGAATTTTTGAAAACTTGTATAAAAAGTAAAACTTTATCAACTTAACTTTTGAAAATATTCCGGGAATATTGCGTCTTTTAAATATATGTTAAAATAAAGCTTATTTTATGTACTACAAGTTCAAAAAAAAAAAAAAAATGGTAGCACAGTGGAGTCGTGGGACAGTATAGACGTGGCATAGTTGGGACAAATATAGATGATATTTGACAATGACTAAAATCACTATTGTAAGAAACGCTCCGATGCAAATCTGTAGATAGTGTTTAATTTTAAGAAATTGGTCAATTATTCCAAAAGCAAAAAGGAACTCCTATTTTTTATTCTAATTCGACTGCCATTTGCACATAGAAAATAGGTCGTCGGTACAGATTTTGTTTTTGTACTTCAAGTACATAATATAAGCTTTATTGTGATATATATTTAAAAGACACAGATTTTCAAAAATTAACTTGAAAAAGTTCTACTTTTTATAGAAATTTTCAAGTTTTCAAAAAATTTTTTCTTAATTTTAAAGAGGCAAAATTTTTAAAATAAGTATAAATTTATATCTAATGTAAGTTAAATTCATTTAAATTTTATATTTATTAGTGGACTCATTACTATGGAAAACCTTTATAAGGTATTTTAAAATAAATAAATAAAAAACAACCAGCACAGAAGATTCGTGACACAGTGGTGACGTGTCATAGTTGGGTCAAGTATAGTGATATCTGACAGTGATTAAAATCAATATCATAAGAAACGCTTCGATGCAAATCTTTAGGTAGTGTTTAATTTTAAGAAATTGGTCAATTATTTCCAAAAGCTACATGATCTGCTATTTCCTTATTAATATCTTGATTAAGATAAAATGTGTCGAATGAAAAAGGGATATAAATATTATTTCTCATAAAAAAATTGTTTTAATCCGTACACTTTTCAATAAGTTATAGCATTATAAAGTTAAAAATGTAAAAAATAAAATCGAGAATTTTCACAAAAAAAATAGCATTCCGTAGCTATTTTCAAAGGCTAGAGGTGTGGAGATCAGCTCTTGAAGAAAAGGTTTTAAGATTAAGTAGGAGTAAGACAGAGTATATAAAGTAAGAGTTTGATAAAGGAGAACACGAGGTAGGTGAAATAAGGAGACCAGTGACAATAGGCGAGAACGTGATTGGAGAGGTGGAAAGTTTTAAGTATTTAGGATCAGTTGTGCAAAAGAGCGGTTGTATTGTCGAGGATATAAGACACAGAATTAAGCGCGGGTGGTTGAAGTGGAGAGAAGTGTCTGGCGTTTACGCATTGAAGCTAAAAAGAAAAGGTTATTTTTAATTTTAAGTAACAACTTGAAGTACTTATTGAGTTACAAGCAATATAATGTTCTGAACCTTAAGTCTGTAATTGGCTCATCAATTTTTATTGTAAGAAAAAGGCTAATTTTTGCCCATTATATAATTAAGTTTATTCAGTTCATTATATGCTTTTATAAAAAGGGCTAATTTTAATTTATAGATAATAATTGTAGTCTATTATCATTTAATTATTTATATTTTTTAGGTCAGTACGGTACTGGATTATATTTTTCAGGCCCGAACAATCCTGAATTTTATTTTCCCGTTTTGAAAGTATATTTAACAGATTAATATTTTCCTTTTCTATCAGTGTATGTACAGTTCCTTCAAAATAATTTCTTAAAAAAATATTTTCCTTGTAAATATTATTATTAAAATACTGCTCTCGGAGATGTTTTTTAAAGTATTACGGTTCTGAAAAATACCATTACTTATAACTTATATGACTATCACTTATAATTCTTTTTAAATAATTTTTTTCTAAATATCATTCCTATTAGATATTGTTCCATGATAAACTATTTCGTATATTTTAAATGCTGATAAGCATTTTTTTGATTCGTATAGCCATCAACTAATGTATGTAGTGTCGGTTAAAACATTTTTCGAATGTAGAAATCGTTTATGAAATAAAGTATTTAATTATATTAATCGAATTCGAACTAATTTTATGATATCATTATTACATATTTCAAACGTAATCTTATGATTGTTCTGAATGTATAAGTTTCCTATAGTTTGTAATGTAAAGTGAAATATTATATATTATATAATCGGAATAAAGTAATTTATTCTGAACTTAAAAAGTCTAAAAGCTAGTCTTCACGTCGTAATATTTTAATATGAAAATTATGAAGATCTTTAACACGTATAATTGTAATTTACTCAAACACTTTAGAATAAATCAATTTATAAAAAAAAATATATTTCTAAGGCTTCATAAAAATATTTCTCATATTAGTACAATAAATTCTAATAATATGGGAGAATTGAATATTACAAAATCAATTGAAAATTTAAAAATATATCATGAAAATAAATTTGCCTGTCTTTTAATTGAGTGTTTATATTGCAACAATAAAAAATTATATGTTAATAAAATAACAGGTAAACATTGTTTTGATAAAATACCTTAACATATTATTCTTATGATAGTTATATTTAGGTAGGTTTATATGTACACATTGTATGAGAGTTGGAGAATGGTCTTCCTGTGAAGAATACTTGCAATCTCATAAAAATTCTAAAGCTAATTTCATTCCTACTCCCAAAATATTTGAAGCAGAACAATATTTCAAAAAAATATCAAATACTTTAATACATTTCAGTGCTCTATCAGTCGGAACTAAAAAAAGTATCTTAAAAGCCTTAGATGTTGAGGTACTTTTTATAATTAGTTAAGGATATTTTCATATTTAACTTAATTTTCTATTTGTAACTATTAATAGGGGTTAAAAATACCAGGTATAGATCGTATTCCAGGTTTATACCATAATGAAAATAATGTACTGTATCTAACTCTTATGTTAGATAGAAAAAAAGTTGTTGGCTACAAAAAAATTGATGTACAAAATAATCAAACAGATATAACAGAACCTTTTGATGAATGTTGGGGTATTGCCCAAGTTCCTCCATCTTTAGTAAATAGAAATGAAAGTGCAATTGTTGTTAATGATTTTAAGAGTTTCCTAGTCTTAGCAGCTCATAAATTACCTCATCATGTTATTTGTCTACCTCATGGTATTATTATTTTATGTTAAATAGAATTTATTTAATGATCATAAAATATTTATAGACCCATTTAAATATGGTTAGTAATCTTAACTTCATCATTCGGTTACTTGCTATGTATCAAACTTATGTGTAAAATATTATGTTATATTTATTGTATTTAATTGATTATAAATAACTGACATTAAATATTATTAATCAGATAAAATAGAAACTACTCAAAAACCAAATTTTACAGTAGTGGCATGATATGCAATATTCTTAAACAAGGCAAATATTTTTGGAGTGTTAAATCTAAATTTATAAACTCCTTTTACTTGACAGTTGATGTTTCTTATTTTCAATAATGGAAAAATCTGACAATTTAAGTTACTATTATTTTGATATGCAATATTTTGAACTAAATTTTCATATTAGATGTTATTATTTTATAAGCTTTTCAGGTATATAAAATTTGATATCAATTGGTAACCAAGTATTTTATAAGTCATAGGTGCGACTAATCAAAATTTCTAGGGGTGGTTAAAAGGTCTTTTACAAAACTGTGAGATCACATCCCTAGAGTATGTTTTAAATATGTAAATATACATTGTGATTTTTAAAAATCCCTCATTATTTTGTTAATGATTTTTTTATAAAAATATACAAATTAAAATTTGATTTATTTAAAGTTTACCTGATCTGTAATAAAAATAAAGATATTTTAATTTTTTAAATTTTATTTTAAACTAAAATATAAAAGGGTAAGGCAATCTTTTAATTTTTGCATTATCCTCCTTGCACTCCCCTAGTTAATCTTATGATAACAACTTATAACCTTTGGTGTTTTAAATATTAAATACTGTATTTTTAAGTTTATATAGATAATTTTCATTATAATATGTTAAGGTTTAAGAAAATTACCTCAAGAATTGTTACCATCATTAGAAAATTATAATAAGTTGATACTTTGGTTTGAAAATGATCAAATTGCATGGAATTCTGCAAGAACTTTTGCTAAAAAATTTGTAGAATCTCGTTGTTATTTTATAAGACCTGTAAATGATCAACCCTCGCCCTATATTGCATTTAAACAAGATCTAAATATTGAAAAAATAATTAAAACTGCTGATAAAATGGTTCATCCTAGTATCATTAATTTTTCAACTATACGTAAAGAAGTATTTGCTGAATTACAAAATCATGATAAAGTATAATTTAAATAATTTCAAATATATTTTGAATAAAAGTAGTTAATGTACGTATTTTTTTAGGCTCTAGGCATAAAGTGGTCTAACTTTCCCATTTTAAATAAAACACTTGGAGGTCATCGTCGTGGCGAACTCACAATATTAACTGGACCAACAGGATCCGGAAAAACCACATTTATTAGTGAATATTCATTAGATTTAACAAAACAAGGAGTAATTATATTTAATGAAATTCAATTTTGAAATAAAACTTTAATCATCATTTTTTAGATAGAAAAAAAGGGTTATATTCATTGTCAATAATATTATTTAATGTATTATATTTTTTTAATATTTGATCAGCTATTGTTTACGTAGCGCTAGACATTACTAAAAGTACAACTAAAGTATAAACTTAAAAATGTCCATCTTCATGATTAATCAAAATATGTTTTAAATTAAAGATATTAAATTTCAGTTTTTTATTTTTGGAAATCAACATTGATATAATGTTCATAGAATTAAATAATAATATGGAATTTATTATATTTAGCATAGTACTGTACTCATTGTAAAGATTCTAAGCATTATCATTTAATTTATATAGCTACCAACATTATGGGGTAGTTTTGAGATAAGAAATCAAAGATTGGGAAAAATTATGCTTCAACAGTTTGCAAAAGAACCTATTCACTTGAATTTGAATTTGTTTGATGCATTAGCTGATGAATTTGAAAAGTTACCATTATATTTTATGACATTTCATGGGTCACAACCTTTAAATACTGTCATGGATGTAAGTTGTTACATAATTGATTTGATTATTAAATAAAATTAATACTTAATTTACTTAAATTATTTTAAGGCTGTTTTAAATGCTGCTTATGTATATGATATTGGCCATGTTGTCATTGACAATGTACAATTTATGATGGGTATTGGTTCTAAGTATAACATGGGATCAGAACGTTTCTGGCAACAGGATACTGTTATAGCAGAATTTCGTAATTTTGCTACTTACACAAATTGTCATGTAACATTAGTAATACATCCTAGAAAGGAAAAAGATGTTGAACAATTATCTATAAGTTCAATTTTTGGTACTGCTAAGGCAACTCAAGAAGCTGATAACATATTAATAATACAGAATAAAACTCTGGAATCCTTACAGATAAAAAAATATTTACAAGTATAAAAATATTTTATTAGTATAAGAGTTCTAATATATAAGAGTGATTCAGATCTAACTGATAACTCTAATAACGTTTAATACAGTAATTATGTTGAATATTTTTAAAAATAATTATTGACTTCTTATACTTTAATTATAGCATATATTTATATTAATTTTCATAAATAAATAATATTTTTATTTTTTCATAATTTTGAAACTGTTATTATTTTAGCATTTTTCTTACAAAATATTTGATTGGGCAATAACAATTTTGGGACAAATACTCATTGAGTTACAAGCATTTTATTTAATACATAGAGTGGATATATAGTAAGGGTGGATGCAGGCTATATATTTATAACGCATACCCACCTCTACTACATACTTACTCTATGTATTAAAATGCTTGTAACTCAATGAGTATTTGTCTTAAAAATTATTAGCTCATAAAAATTGTATGTAAAAAAATGGCCATTTCAAAACTAATTTTTTAATTGTGCTAAATAATAAAAAATATGCTTTAAACATAGCATAAGAAGGTAATAATTGTTTTAAAATAAATTTTAACTAAATGATCATTGGATCAAAAGTTATAAGAGTTGTTAATGAAATGTGTTTCACTTTGCATATATAATAAGAAAAAATGTATCAATAATTAAACATTAGTTGTTTAAGTATAAAAATATTCATTAATATTTTTTTAATTCCACTAAAATTATACTTGTAATCAATTTTAAATAACTAATCCTATAGTCTCAGATTATATAAGAATTAAAATCTCAACATTTGATAGCCTAAAAATATTTTTATAGCTTGACCATACTTAATCTATTATATACGCAATAACCAAAGCTAGGCCCTGACTAGTTACAAAGTTAATATTTAAGTAACATTTTAACTAGTTAGTTTTAAGACATAATGACTTTCTAACTTATTAAGTTGAATATGTACATAATCATTATTTAACTTATTAAAAATAAAAATAACTAGTTGTAATGTATTAATAATTAATATTGCACATTCATACCTACAGGTCTAAGTGCATGGGTAGTTTATGTTTACCTCTCTAATAACTAATAATTAATATTGAGAATTTTTAAATTTTGTGATACAATTCTGAATTGTTGTGGTAGTATTAACCCGTTCACCTATATTATTTATAATGTTGTGACATCAAATTATTCTAGAACTGCATACACACATCGCGGTGTGAATCTAAAATGCTTTTTGTAATAATCATGTTTTTAGTTGTTTAGAATTCTATAAATTTTATCATAATTTTTTCTAGCAAGTAAGGAGTTAAACATGTTAAGAATAAAAAAAAAATTCAAATTCGTTTTTTACTTGAAGTTCAAGCTCAAACTTTCGAATATATGTTTTTTATAGTCTTTTATTTCAATTTATTTTTAAATTTTATATTTTAAGTACCTATCACTTATATGTCCTAAGTAGTATTATTAAATATTGAACCGTTTGAAAATATTTAATTATTAACTTAATGAATCTAATACTTGCTCAAAAATACTAAGAAGTTTTAATTTAAAAAAATCCTTTAGTGTTATAAAAATCAATTTTTTCTTTTAAATATATATTTATTAAGTACTTAATAATAAATAAATATTTATAATTAAGTATCATTTAATACATATGACTAATTGTGATTATTTATAATCAATCACTAGTAGTTAACATATTATTATTTAAAAAAAAATTAGCATTTTTATACGTTTTGGATTCAATCTGTTTCTTTTAGTATGAAATTTTTGTCCAATTGTAGATAAGGGCCTTTCCGATTCAATTATAGCTGGAGGTCCGCACAAATATTTTGAATCTAAGCAACAAAGTTATTATGTAAAATATTTTTTATACACTTCATTTAAAAGGAATAATTTGATTTAGTTTATGTTATTTTGGAAATTAATTTAATTTTTCTAGAAATTGAATATGTCAACTCTAAGCTTGACAAACTTATTTTAAGAAAAACTTCAACTTATTTTTCAGTTAAATTATTAAGATTCAAAACATTGTTCATTTTTTAAATAATATTTCAACATTTCTGAATTACATTGGTCAGTTGTAAATTTATCTTCATTATTTTCTATAATTAAATTAAATCATTAGTTTTTAAAATGAAAAGTTCTTTACCATTTTTTCTTCTAGTCTGATCAGTGAATACTTAATCTTTAAATAATGTAATTATAAATTTTTTTTTTTTATCTGGCCCGCAAACTCTATTTAATTTGTAAATGTGGCCTGAGAATTAAAAAAGGTTGCCGACCACTGTTCTAATGTAATAACTGATATTCCAAGAAATTAGGATCATTGTATACTTGGAACATTTTATCAAATTACCAGTTGTATAATCTAATTTTTCATTCATCAATAACTTAAGGTAAATAATTTATTATTTACATTTGAACAAACAAGTTTTTAAATATTCTGAATAATTTTAAGTAGATTAATTAAGATATAATTATGCTGGGAAGTAAATGCATGCTATAGCATTTAAATATCCCTGATAGTCCACGCCTGACAAACTTAAATTACTATTTTCAACAAATAAACTTCTAACTAGATGCAAGTTAGAAATTTGAAAAAATTCCAGAAACTAACTTATATAATATTTAGATTTAATATTAAAGTAATATTATATATATTTAATATTATAGTAGTAACTGTTAGATAAAACAAATGACTAACTTGCCTAGCTTTGCCAATAACATTTAAGGATTTTTATTGAATTTAAACCCTTCAATTACTGGACATTTTTACTTATAAATAAAATAATGGATTTGGGGTTAATGTATTTATAAGTATAATCTATACTTATGTGCTTAAACAGCAGATATTAAAAATTTTATCAAGCTCTTTTATTTAAAATTCCGTTTTTGTTATTAATTTTTTTAAAATTGTAGTATAATCAAATTGTAATACAAAAATTTAGATAGTGATTTTAAAATATTTTATTTTTAGGTTGTGAAAAACCGATATAATGGCAATCTTGGAATAATGCCTTTAGAATTTGATAAGCATAGTTTAAGTTTCTCTCAATCAAAAAATTGATTTTTAGTTTATCATCAATTTAATTGTTAATCCAGGTAAAAAACATTTTTTTCCGTGTACATTTTAATAATTGTTATAAAATTATAATTACTTTTTATATTGTTATGTATTTTATATATGTATTTTCCAAAATTATTTGTTATTATAAAATAATTATTTGAAATCATAACATTTTGTTTTGAGAAAATCAATTTTTTTCAATGATTATACCCAAATAACACTAAAACATTCATATTTTATTCATAGAATAATTTTTATGGTTAGTTTAAACATTATTAGATTATTATTATTTTTTCTATAATCATTTAATTTTTATTTGTCAATTATGCTGATGCATCATATAAAATTGTTCCAAGAATATCTATATAAGAATAGAATATCCAAATAATAATTATGTAATATTTTATGATTAATTAATATTCCAAATTATTATAAGATTCTGTTATTATACATACTCCACATTTTTTTGGTGTATTAATGAATAAAATAATTATTATATGAACAAACAAACTTCTTTATTAATACAATAGATTAAAAAAAAAAAAAAACCATAGTGGCATATAATTTTTCTACTATAATTTAAAAATTTAAAAAATATTTCTGTTATTGATATTGGTCCTTCTTGCATTAAGTGTCAGAAATAATTATAGAATTATCAGAATTTAATTTTTTTTTTTTAATAAACCTAAATCTTAGTGTTTAATTATATTTGCTGTGAGCTCGACCCTGTAATTATGCCACAATGACAATAATCTATTATATTTTAGTTGCTAATTACTTTTAAAAAATAATAAAATCCATGTCTTTAGTTTTATGATGCCATTTCGAACTTGTGCCGAATTCGTTTATTTCTCAAGATTCTAAATCAATGTCTACATTCTATGGTTTACATTAGAGATGTGACGTTCATGAATGAATTAATTCAGTTGAACTATTCTCTCGAGTAAACATAACATAACGATTTATTGAAATAAAAATGGATTGTTCTGAACTAATTATTGTTAAAAGTTTAATATACAAACACTGTTCACATTTCAGACCGAAGCGAACAGAGCCTGTGCCCCGGACACCGATCAGTAGTGTAGGGTTTTGTTTTTTGGATTGGGAAATACATAAAAAAAAAATCTCTTCGACAAAAATAAATAGTATGTTACCATGTAACAATTTTTATTGGCGGAATCTACCTCATTTAAAATTTTGTAAAATCTAGCGCCAGCACTATTCATGATGAACGATGAAGGGTTAGCCAATATTTTTGCTTTAGCATAAAGGCGCAATTTCTATAAAATGTTTGAAGAGGCTTATTATTTTTAAAATTTTCTTTTCATTAAATTATTTTGTATAATACAAATAATATTTTTCCTTCCAAGCCACCCTAATTTGCACCTATGTTTTAGCTAGTAAAAAATCGTTTGTTAGTGGTATGTCAAGACCAATACTTAAAAGGAGCAAATTTTGTAATGAATTTTAGTTTTCATCTCTTTCATCATACCTTAAAGTTTTTCTATCTGAATTATGAAGTATTGTGCAGAAAAAACATTTGATTTTGTAAAAATAAACAAAAATACGTTAGTTTATAAGTTTGAAAATTAATAATTTTTAGTTAATATATGATTATTTTACACAGCATATGTTCAATTTTTGTATCTATAGTGCTAAAAGTATTAAACAAATATTGCTCCAATACGATTTTATGCGTTTCAAGTATTCATACAATCATAAAAATTTCGAATAAATCATAAGGCACCCTTATTGAATGCAGTAAGAGGTGAAGGGACGGTGTCTTCTTGCATCCTTTTTAATTTAAGCCCCGTATATCTTGAGATACACGAAGCTTAAATTTAAAATGATCATTTGGAGTATTACTGAATATATATAGTATTCATTAATATTTTTCCTTATTTTAAATTAAATTTTGATTTATTATCATCTAAGTGATAATAACACCATAGAATAATGATTAAATAGTGCATTGTATTGCACTTTTAGTCTAACATTTAATCTATTCTGTGATTTCGTTCACTGAACTGTTCAATTTGAAGAACGATGAATGATTGAATCAGTTCAGTAAAATAAACCATTAGTTCCATCTTTATTCTACATAACTGTACTGGGCTTGTTAATCTATTAGAACCCTCTATTAATCTGGTAGTAAAATAGTTCTAACAAACGCTGCATATGTGAAAGTAAGGCTATATTTATCTGGAGTTCTATCTTTAGTACGTACTCTCCAAATCTAATGTTAAAATTTAACTATGATGGTAACAGTTTATATAAGTGGTTAAGTCTTTTTACTAGACCGCGGTAATATCTTTAAAAAACTAGAAATTTTACAAACAATGATAACATTATCGTGATACCAAAATTCACAATTTGATTAATAGAACAGAAAGTTGTTAAAACTATATATATTTTTTTTATTATTTTAATATTTATTGTATAACAATTTTTTTTTAAAACAAAATAAATCGAATAGGTATTTTATATTATACAGTTATTTATTTTAAGTCTATGACTTAAAATGGCATTGGTGGTTTTACTTGCTTTAATAAACTGTATAGTATCTAGTTATTAACTATTCATTAGTTATTAAGTGTATTTTATAATTAACTACTAAGAACTAAGTTACATAATAAAATTATTTCCTGTTTTATATTCTTTGCATTATTTTCATTAATTAATAACTTAATTTATTTCTGTAATTTTTATTCTGATAATTTTTTTTATTGTGCAACAATTTAAAACATACATGTGTGTAATCTTTTAAGGCTAAAACAGCTATTTATTAGTATTATTTATTTTGCTACTTTTGCTATTTCGAGGACACTTTCTATGAATAAATAAATAACAATTGCATCATTTATGAAAAATATAGGAACAAAAATTAAACTATTTGTATAAGAATACTTTTATTTTAGATTACTTTTCTTAACACTAATGTTAATACAATAAAAAATTAGGAAACATTTTAATACTTGAATTGTATATTAGCTTCTATATGAAGCTAAGAAGGTATAAATTTTACAATGATGTTTTTATTTTTTTATTATTTTGTTTTAGTGTTACACACTTAATTTTATGTAACTAATTTTTCAAAAAAAATTGTCCACCATTTTATTTACCCAACGCTTTGATTACATCTATATGTTTAATAATATATTTTTTTTTATTTTGGAAAATGCGTGATTCATTAGGAAAAAAGTCGAAAAAAGTTTACATAGTGAATAAAAATTCTATAATTTTTATAGACACCAATACATTTTTTATTTTAACCAACCCTATGAGTATAATGAAGTCTGCATAATAAATACCAGGTAAATTGTAAATAGGTTTATGTATATATATATTTATATTAATAAATCAGTTATTTGTTGTAATTATCATTATAAAATGTATCTATATCTATTTTGGATTTTTATATAAAATAAAAATATTTTTAAAATATTCTTGTTATCAAAACTATAATTATAATATCAACAACTTAAAAAAAATTATATCACTAAATGATTCTTGGCCTTATACATAATTGTAATTATTTGAATTTGTTATTCAGTTTATAATAGATTTTATAAAAATTTTACAGAAACCTAGATGAATAAGAAAATATTTTAATGTCATTAAAAATGACTGATTATTCTGGCTTAAATAGGAATTCTGAAGTTAGATCTTCTGGAAGTAGCCTTATAAGTAATAGTAGTATTCGTATGTCTACTTTACCTATAACATCAGTTGAAGATGGAAAATCTAGATTTCCAAAACTTGAAGAATGTGCACATTTTCATTATGAGCATGTTGATCTTGGTTTTTTAAAAGTAGTTCTTTATTTTGATTATATTACAATTTTTAAATATATTTAACAAAAATGAAACTATATAATTACTTTTTTTTTTAGCTTGAATTTATTGAAGATGACATTCAAAAATGTATTTCTGTTGATGATAATTTTTGGTTTACCATAAAAGTTAATTCACAAAGTTCAGTTTGGGTTTTAAAACGATCATATGAAAATGCAAAAACTTTAGATCGCCAATTACATAAATGTGTTTATGATAGAAAATTTAGTTTACTTCCTGAATTACGATCTATTCCAAATAATTGTGAAAACCCAAATGTATGGTATTTTTATTTCATTTAATTAAAAGATTTTATTTGTGTTTTATATTAATATAAATAAATAAGTTTCATATTTTTTTAGAAATATATTAAAAATTTAATGAGCAATTATTGTTCAAGATTATCTCAAATAGCTACTGGTAGTCTAATTAACTGTGGGCCCATATTAAGTTGGTTTGAATTAGATAATCGTGGTCACCATTTATTAGTAGCTGATGGAGATCAATGTGCAATTAATACTCCAGCTGTAGCTGCTGCTTATTCTGTGAGAAAATACACAGCGAATGCCACAGATGAATTATCTTTTGATGTAACTTTTCTATTCATTTTTATGAATTAAAAAAAATAATAGTCATTTTAGATAAATAAACACATTTATAATTAGAATAATGAAAAAATATTATACATTTTAGGTTGGAGATATTATATCTGTTATTGATATGCCACCACCAGAAGATAGTACCTGGTGGAGAGGGAAACATGGGTTTCTTGTTGGATTTTTTCCATCTAATTGTGTGGTAGTTATTACAGATAAAGTACCAAGAAATTTATATGTTAATCCTCAAATGATATGTTTTTCTGAACCATCCAAACCTGTATTAAGGTAAGTTTATATTTAGAAATAAGTTTATTACTAAATATAAATTATAATAATAGTTATTGTTAATGACTTTTTTATATAACTAAAAATTGTAATACTTATTTCTTCTTCATAAAATGTCATTTTTTTTTTCAAATAATCTAATATTTTTTACTTAAAATGATAATATCTATATTTAAAATAACTTATTATTTTATAATTTAAATAGTACTGGAGGTTACAGTAAACTTTTACACTCAACACTTTTTAGAAATACACCTGCCAACTACAGTGAGTTGGGCTGGTGTATACTAACCTATCAATCAAAAGAAAAAATTCTGATAAGTCATAATTTGTATTCAATTTTTCTCAGAAAACATGGTAAACTAATTTCATTTTTTCGATCATTCATACTATCACGGCCAACCAGAAGAACTTTAAAACAATCAGGAATTCTAAAAGAAAGAGTTTTTGGATGCGATTTGGGAGAACACTTATTAAATTCAGGAAAAGACTGTAAGTTTTACAATGGTAACTAATATTATTTCAAGTATACCTCTTCTAGAAGTTAACTATTATTATAAAGTTTCAAACACAAATTAATATTAAAGCTCTTGAATTTTAAACTAGACGTTATGTCTTATAAGTATGATGTATTGTGTGGTACATTATAATAAGCTGTCAAACATAATTATAAACTCCTACAGACTTTTGAATTTTTTTCTTTTATTTAAAAATAATATTAAGTGTTTTTTAAAGTTAATTAAAAAATTTATAGATGAATGTTTCAAAAAAAATTAACTAAATTATTTATTATAAATTTTTTAGCTTCGATGCGAAGCGGAGAAGGTATTAATTTTACTATGATGTGTTTTTTTTTTTTTTTTTTTTTT